TCATGGCTGTGGCTGGCTGACTGGTCAGCTTAGCCCAGTCTCACATAGCAAGGGCGGTGTCATATAAGACAAGCTCTCTCTTGATGTGTACTCATGGTGACGGCGTCCCTCTTGACATGCTGCAAGCAGTTGGTTTAGTATCGAATTTCCTATTTAGGTCATGGTTCTACTAGCTTAGAACACATCCACGCCAAGATGATGGAACGAGAACGTTGCTGTGCATATCATTCATAACCTGAGCAATCAAGTAGATTGAGATGCTTGATATTTTGTGACTTTAGCACAATCCATCCTATTCTACGGCTACTGCGGTTGAAGCGTACATATCCATAGCATCAAATTAACAAGCGACGAAGGAAGGCTTACAGTCTTTCTCTCCTCTTTTTTGATTCACTTCTCGCGAAGTAAGAACGGCACATCTACGTCTCCTCCTTGAGGGGAGCAAGTACTTTTCCAGGAAGAAATCAACGGGTGACAGATCTTGGGTCTCAGTAGTCCAAGTGGCTTCGTGCCATTGTCTCTCTTGAAGGTTGCCTCGATGAATAGAGTTGTGAACCAACGATTCAAGCCTATAATACACCCTCGGGATTGATACTGCTTAGCTAGCAATGATCATATGAACCTTAAGGAGAAAAGCGAAAAGAAAAGGAATACAGATATTGATGTGAGTCCAGGGACTGATGATGTCAAGCTGGCTTCTGTTGAAAGTGACTAGAGTTGTGGATTCATTGCCTTGTACAGACCACAATTCCATGTGGTACTGACATATTCAAGAGACCAGTAGATTTGTATTCAAGAGGTATCTGTGTTGAGTTAAAGACAAGCCCGGTAGAAGACTGGGCAGTATATTGGTTGATAGGAGCTTAGAATGAAGAGGAAGTCGAATAGTGAGAAGGGGGGAGATTAGAAACGAATCCAATTAGTGTCTCTTTTGCGCTCAGCTCCGAGCCCAAGAGCTTACTATAAATATAGCCAAAGGCCGCTTTCTGCTCTTGTCTCTTCTCCCAGCCGAGGCAAAATGACCTGACAGCATTCTCCTGGAGGTAAGAGCAAGGGTGAAATTGGAGTATGGATTGGAAGAGTCTCGTTGTTCAAGGCTCCCAATTTGATGATCTTCCTTTTCATGTCGAAGGCGATGTGTTCTCCAGAGCTGGCCGGAGACTGTCGTGCATCTTCTGCGGATGCTTCATTACTGAATACGCAGGTGATAGCGGTCAGAAACGAACGATATCTCCTCGGAATCTACCTTGGCGAAAGATCCTGGCTGTTGGGTTGGTGGGATGACGATACTGCAAGTCATCTTGAGCCATCCGACAGAAAGATCGGTTGTCGGTCTGTGAATTTCGCACCCATACGATTGTCAAAAATCTCGACGAGGTTGAGTCTGCTAAAGAGGTATAATTCTAGGCGCGGAGAGCGAACTTCAATAGGCAATATTCCGTTAACAAGACGGTGAGCTACCTTCCATAACCAAGTTATCCTTACAACTCATGGGATAAACGTTCGCACAAAACTCTATAGACGCCTATGAGACATGAATACCCGAAAGAAGTATAAGTTTGGCCGTATCATCGTCTCTGGAAGAGTTAGACGTGAAATAAGAATGTCTTTGCTTAACAAGTACTGTATTCCTATCGAACGGCCAACTTGGCGCATTATCTCTGTGCTCCATCTAGTCTAGTCGTCGGCCCTCAAGGGCTCCGAGTAACTCGTCATGTCTTCATTGTCAACCAACTGGATCCCCTTGAAGCTCTCTTCATCACTGTCATCCTCCTCCTCATCCTCCTGAACGGGAACAGGGAAGGTCTTGGGCCTGATTGGCAGTTCCGGTCGACGATGCGAGTCTATAGCACCATCGCTCTGGAACGAGTGGATAGCAGAAGGTCTTGAGGGTAGCTCCGGTTCTTTGCCCAGCTGGCTGGCATCAATACCGGCAGCAGGAGGAACTGGGCTTTCGTTCTTTGCACCCAGAGCACTGAGATTCAGTGGATCAGCAGGCTGAGCGCTTCTTGACTCTTGCTTCTCAGGGGGTGGAGAACTCAGACTACGGAGCTCCTCGTGGTGAGGCGACCGCGGTCCCTGCTTCGCCTGACCAAGACTTGCCAAGTTCAAAGGGTCACCACTACCACCTCCAAGAGGGCCGAAAGATCCCGAAACGGCTGCACCACCAGATCTAGACACCTTGTTCCGGTTGGGGTTCTTCTTCTTCTTCTGTTCAGGCGGGTCAGGATGTAACGGGTGACGCAGCTCATTCGGAAACCTTGCAGTCTGCTTGGATTTGATCGGCTGCGGCTCCGACTCCGGATCAGGCTGTGCCTCGAGATGGATAAGCTGGCCCATCTGCGAACCCGCCTCCTCATCCGTGATCTTGATATCGAGGTCTTCGTCCTTTTCTATGATGCCCTCGCCACCCTTTACATTCGGGAATCCGCATCTTGTAAGAATCTTGGCGATCAAGTTCGGGTAGCGGAGATGTCCGCTGACTTCTGCGCTGAGGTTCAGGTTCTCGACTCTCTCAATGTCCTTGACTTCCTGAAGACCTGCGATGCCTAGCTGAAGCGAGGTGGTGCGGTACAAGAATCCGAGAATGTAGTCTGTTTCCGAGTACACGTTGACGATGCGACCCGACACCACGGACCGCAGAACCTGCCAGTGTTCCCGGTTCGAAGGCACAGGGGCGCCGATGAGCACCACTGTGTCGACGAGTCCGAAAGCCTGACGCTCGGCAAGGGATCGCAAACACGAGTAGATGACGCGAGCACCGAGTGAATATCCGACCAGAGTCACGGGCCTTTCTCCCTGGACCTTGGCGATGAGAGCATCAGCGAGGACGCGACCAGCCTTGTCTGAACGGTTGCGGGCCAGGTTGAAGGGGTTGTCAATCTTCGACGCAGCGCTAATGAGGTAGGCAGGCCATAGAGCGGCCCAAAGCGAAGCCAAGACGGTGCGCTTGAGGATCTCAATCTTCACATAGTTCCAGGCGTACGACGAAACAAGACCCTCGAGCTCGGCGCCCAGGGCAAGGAGGGATTTCATCTCGTAGCGCAAGGCAAAGACTTCGGACTCATCACCCAAGCTGCGCCAGGGCTTCGTCACGTCACCCTCGTCATTCAGCCAGCCGTTGATGCCAATCGTCACGCGGAGACGGGCGCCCTGCTTGCCGTCCGGGTCAGCGCGTTTATAGTCCTGGCCCCATTCGTCCTTGAGCGGGAGAAAACGGAAGTCCTCCACCTCCTTGGCGTAGGTGTCCATCATCTCGCCCGTCATCTTGGCCCCGAACGCGCCAAAGAGCGTCCCGACCAGGGCACCGTTCATCCAAAAAATGCCGAGGAAGCTCGCGACACCTCCTAGGCCGACGCTTCCCATGATGCCGCCGATTGCGCCGGCAATCACGGGAGCCGCGAGACCGCCCGTGATGCCGATGACTGCGGCGCCGGCCACTGAAGCCAGACCGACTTTCCAGAAGCGGCTCTTTTGGTTCTCCTGTCGTCGTTTTGCAGCCTCGGCCTCGGCGGACATTGTGGCCTTTTGACCTTCAGAAGAGGTCGCGGATTCAACCAGAGACTTTGCAATTTCTGTCTCCTCGGCGATGAGGGCCGAGAGAGGCAGCCCGAAGGCGGACGTGAGATACAGGGCTAAGACTCTGGAGTGTGCTGAGTAGCACCCAGTAGACAGGACGAGAACCAAGAGGCAGCTCAGCACCTCTTTCCTATCGTTCACCGGGATCGTGGTGAATCGGCTCGGGATGGGATGGTAATGCTCCTGCAGTGCGGCCACCTCCTCGTCGACCTTGTTCGTTGCCGCCGCCGAAGAGCCAGCCTGAGACGCATCTCCAAAGTTGATCAAATCCTCCCCGACGCCGGGAGACTCTGCGTTAAGCTTCTCCTGCTCATCTAAGCGCTTCTTCCTGGCCTCGAGGATCTTGTCATCGTCCCTAACCGAGACAATCTCCTTGACCTTTTCGAGGACCTCCTTCCGCCATCCGTCAAAGTGCTTGAGCGCCGCCCTCCTCAGGGCCCGCAGCTGAGCGCTGTGCACGCCGGAACCGCCGCGGTCCGGGTGGCTGGGGCTGCTACTGCGTCCGTCGCCGCGGTCCGGGACGAAGAGCGGGGCATTCCTGTCCTGGAATGACGGCGAGGCCGGATTGCCGCCGCCGGAGTCTGCTACTTGGTCACCGGCGTCCTTGAGCTCGAGCTGCGAGCGCATGTAGCCCGTGATGTCAAAGAGGAGGGTATAAAACGCTTTGCGGCGGGCTGGATTGAGGACCACCACAAGCTGGCGGGGGTCTGCGGCCAGGGGAGCCATGATTGCGATGGGCTCACCGCATCCAATGAGACTTATGGATGGGGAGGTGACCGGATTAGAGAGGTGCTCTGGTATCAAACAATAATCTGGAGAAATAATAGGTCGAGGTGAGAGGCGGGAAAGATGTAAAACCAGGGACACGTGAGAAGAGATGTAGTTGAGTCACTCAAGGTGAGGAGAATGTGCATTAGATGTCGGGTTGATCTAAAGTTAGGCAGACGTCTATCGGAAAGATCAACAGGGACTTTCAGCTGCCTGTGCCGCCGCAAAGAGATTCCCTACAGACACCTGGACGCATCTCACCGGAGTTTAGGTGTTGATGTAAGCCCCCAAATCCTTCCCCAGCAAAAGGCGGTCTCAGTGTTCGGTCCGTGCTAATTTTCCAGTCTCCATCCTTGCATCATCCAGGTGTAAATGTACCCAGGGTGTATTTCGTCTGCAAACGGCTTGCAAGCAAGCCTATTCTTTTTCAGCCTGATCCAGTGATGGCCAAGTATATGAGACATGATTGTAACAGTAGACAGCAAGTATTCAACGTAGGAGAAGCAGAGTGGTGCAACGAGGCCGCTAGATTTGAGGGCTACAAGCCTCCGGATTATTCGCAAATGCCTCCATGATATAACCTAACACCAGCGGATTTGGATTACGCCCTAAAAACACTTTTGCACTTCAGATCTTCCTCGAAAGCCGCATCTCTACTCATCGTCTTCCATATCGTCATCTTCGTCCTCCTCCTCCTCATCCTCGTCAACCTCATCATCGTCCTCGGCCTCGTCGTCCATCAGCTCGTCGGCGTACTCCTCTTCAGAGTCGTCGTCTGCGGCGTTCTCCGCAACCGCATCCTTCTCCTCCTGCTTACGCTTCTTCTCGTCCTCTTTCCTCGCGTCCTCGAGCGCCTTGGCCTTCTGCTCCCTAATCTTGCGCTGCACGACAACGTATGCGCCGAGGGGCGTCTTCTCCCACTCAAAGTCGCGCAGGAAGGCGTCCACCTGCGCGCGATCCTTGGGCGCGAACTCGACCTTGGCACGCTTCTCCTCGATGAACTTAGCGTTCGTCTCGAGCTTCTGCACCAACAGCACAATCTGCGAGATAACCTTGTTGTTCTTGTTGCCCGTCTTGATCTTGCGCGCTCCCTTGAGCCAGCGCTTCAGCTGAATGAGGACAGGAAGGGTGAACTCAGGGAAGGCAATGTTCTTGCACCAGATGGTGAAGTATTCGCTGAAGAGCTCAACAACCTGCTCGGCGACGCCGTCCTGGTAGACGCGGGTGCGGAGGTACGACTTGGGTGCCTTATAGGCAACGTGGAAGTCGAGGGGCTTGATGGATGAGGCCTTGGGGAACCGTCTCATATCGGCGGACTCGAGAACCTCAATCAAAGCTGAAGCGAGGGGAATGTAGGTGTTGGTCGCGCGGGAAAGACGAAGGATGGAGCGGATGAGGTGGAACCGCAGGGGGAAGAAAGTCGGCGAGGGAATAAGGCGCATCGCTCCCAGAGTCACTTGCACAAGGGGGTAGATGAGGAGCTTGAGCTGGCCCTCCTTGCCAGTCTCCGCCTCCTTCAGGGGGCTGCAGTGCTCGGCAAGCACGCATGACCAGAAGTCGAGCGAGTGGGTGTATTGCCAGTTGTAGATGATCTTGTGGGCGTCCTTCTCCTTCTTGACGATGCTATTTCTGAGATGAATGGCGAGTTGGCGGATAAAGGTGAAGGCCGTCGTGTAACCGACGTTTTGGTCAATGCCCCAAAGCTCGGCAGCGGAGTTCTTCAACAAGTTAATGCCCTGGATGGTGTTGGCGTTTGTTGTCCTGCAACCCGAGACGAGTCCCTGGTACACCGTCTTGAGAACGGTCTCGCGAAGGCCCTTGTCGCCGATGACGACGAGTTTCCGCAGAACGAGGAAAGAAGTGATCTTTGTCGTTTCTGAGCTGGCTGGCCTGGCCCAGTAGTTGACAACAGTCTTGATGAGAGCCTTAAGAAGCTTGCGGAAGGACATGAGGTAGGGAACGAGGGGCTCTAATGAGCCAATAGTGAGCTTGAGAGTAGCATCGTCAGACAGTGTGCCGAGAAGGTGAATGATGGACGCAGTGAAGGTCTTGATCATGATAGACAGAGTGTGGAACTTTTTCGAATCGGTAGGCACGTAGATCTTGCCAGACGCAGACTCCTTGATGGGCAAGTGGTGCGAGATGATCTCGGGTATTTGCTTCAAGGCAACGATCAAGATGTCGTGGAAGACCTCAGGGCTGGAGATGGTGTATCTCTGGGGGGTCGAGTCGTCGGCGTCGTCCTCGTTGAGATGCGCAGCGCAGCGGAATGCCAGGACAACCTGACGGGCAGCACGCAAGCTCTGCTTTTCGGCGAGAAGCTTCTTCCACTTGCCAACCATCTCGCGCGTGAGCTCATTGTCCGCGGCGACGACCTCCTCGACCTCGGCCTTCTTGGAAGCCTTCTTGCGCTTCTTCTTCGGTTGTTCCTCCTCGTCATCGTCGGACTGATCGCTGCCGGCGCTGAGCTCGTCCACTTCAGCCAGGTCCGCGTTCTCGTCAAAATCGAGGGCTTCCGGGTCGTTGTCCTTGAGGAACTTGTAGAATTCGGGGTCGTTTTGGGCGAGCTTGTCCATGGCTTCCTTGGTCATGCCGAGGTTCTCGTCGTCTTCCTCGTCGCCCTCGCCGTCTTCGCTGTCGCTTCCAATGGGCTCCTCCTCGACTGAGAATTCCGAGCCGCTACCCTCCTCCTCAGAGTCCTCCTCCTCTGACTTCTTCGCGGGCCCATCGCGCTTTCTCTTGCCGAGCTTCTTTGTCGCATTCTTGTCCTTCTTGTCGATGATTTCCTCGAAGCCGCCCTGGAAGAAGTCGTCAACGCTCATGGCGCTGACCTTGGTGTCCTTCTTGTGGCCATTGGCCTTTGCCTTGGCAGCGGCCTCGTCATTCTTGAAGAATTCGGAATCCTTGGTCTTCTTGGTCGCCTTCTTGGCCTTGACCTGGTGGCGCTGTTTGATCTTTGCCGTCTCCTTCCTCTTGTCCAAAACACCCTTAAGCTTGTTCTTTTCAAACTTCTTGGTCGCCTTGAGGTTCTTCTTCTGGGAACCCATGATGGAGTACGGAGCCGGGGTTATTCGGTCCTGTGGTTTGGGGGGGTTAAAAGAGAAGTTTTGGCTGCAGGGACTCTGGGAAGTGGACGCGGGAACCTCGAGACTTTCTCAATGGCAGCAACTGCACGGCGTCCGTCCAAATTTTTTCAGAACGCTTATCTTATCAGGAAAGAGCGCTAAGCCACCTTTGGTGCTGGTTCCTCACAGGTTGCCCCACGTTCTACCTTGGGCCTGGGAACCTCCACACCCATGTCTTATGTCCTTGGCTGTGGCTCTGCGACATACCTATCTGCACCACCACTTGCTACCTGAGAGCTCCAACGACAGCTCAAAAGCTGTCCGACGACCATGAAGCCGATCACGATCCAAACACAGCTGCGAAGATGATGCCCCGGCAACCCTATGCGCCGACACCGCATAGCTACATTCCAAATACCACACTATCGGCAACCATCAATCTCGATGAGGCAAGTTGATAACGCCAAATCGCCGTTACCATCATCCCCTCCAACTGCCCCGCCCCCGCAGGCAACATCCAGCTAACATGATGATGCGTCACAACAGGAGGTGAAGCTAGCCGACACACGCGCCGAGCGCGACCTGCAAGACTCGCTTGCCGAAATCTTTAGCATCATTGTCACTCTCGACGAGCTTGAGAAGGCTTTCCTGAAAGATGCGATCCCTGAGGCCGACTACACCGAGATCTGCGAGCGCTCTCTGAAGCAGTACAAGTCCATTTTAGCAGACGAGACCGTGGCAAAGGCCTTTGGGGGCCTAGAGGAGTTCAAAGCGGAATGGGATGTTCGTCTACCCCTTTTCTCTAGCAGCTAGTATCGCACATCTTGCTGACCATGTCGCCCACCCACATCAACAGCTCGAAGTCCCCCGTGCAACAGAGCGCATCCGCGTCGGCATGCCCTCGACAACCGTGACAGCCTCATCAAGCGCTGCTCCGGCCCCTACAGCCGCCGGCAATACGAGCGGCACACTCATTCTGGAAGCGACGCAGGAGTTCATCACCTTCCTCGATGCCGTCAAGCTGGGCCTCCTCTCCAAGGACCAGCTGCACCCCCTGCTCTCCGACGTCATCCAGTCCGTCAACAAGGTCACCGATCGCGACTTTGACAGTAGGGGCAAGATTGTGCAGTGGCTCATCACGCTGAACCAGATGAAGGCCACGGACGAGCTGAGCGAGCAGCAGGCCCGCGAGCTCGAGATGGACATCCAGCAGGCTTACCAGGGGTTCAAGAGTACTCTCACATAAAAAAGAAAAGGCGGAAGATCTTGGAAGAGGAGAAGTACGTGTTAAGAGGAATATTCTATTCTTCATTGTTGATAGATACCAATGCAGAGCGAGTCCCACCAGCTCTTGATTTTGAACCAGCCATAGTACTTTTTCTCCCTTATGCATGTGAACAGTGCATGTCATACCTCGTGAAAAACGCCAGGTCGATCAAACCACCCCATCCCATCCCATACCATACACCCATCTTCTTAGACCAAGAACGTCCAGAAGCTGGGATACACAAATTCATTCTCAAATATCCGCCTCACCTGCTCCAGCACAAACCTCTCCACCTTGCCCACGTTCTTCAAGCTCTGTTTCCCTCCATCCCGGAGCCCAATCTCGCTCTCGACCTGGATCTCTTGCAGCAAGCCGCCGAACCTCTTGCCGGGCTCGCTGGGGCCCGCGTCGTCCGCGCCCACGGCCGTGACCGCGTCCTCGGGGCTCAGGAAGCAAAACTGCACCCTCTTCCGGATATGCGCCATCACGCCGACGCCGTCAAACGTCAGGCCCGTGACGCTGAGCTGCACGGGGATGCCCACGAAGCTCGGCATCGGGTAGTCGAGCAGGATCTCCGCCGTCAGGCGCAGCCTCACGTCGCCGGCGTACCGTATGCGGAACACGGCCTGCAGGTCCTCGGGCCTCGGCTCCCGGAACCGCGGCGCATTGTTGTTGCTGTCGTCTTCCTCTTCAGGTAGCACCTCCTCGTCCTCCTCCTGGATCGCCGACCCTGCGAGGAGGTGCGTGTCCCGCGTCGGCGGCCTCGACGCACCCGCCGACGTGGGCGCCAGCGTCGATACGCTCGACTTCTCCCTGAGCTGCGCCAGCGCCGGGTTGAAGTCGCTCACAGAGATGGAACTCTGTGAAGGGTTCCGGCTATGGCTCGGCGAGGAGAACCCGTTCGGCGGCGGCGAGCCGACGGGCGATAGCACGGCCGAGGTGTCCAGCCTGTTGCCCATGTGCGCGCCCGCTACCGCCGCGAGGGGTGTCTGCGTGCCAGACCAACCCGTCCCCAGGTGCGACTGGAAATAATGCAGGTTCGACGTCCCGCCGAGGATCCCCGGCGTCGATACACCCAGAAACGGGCTCGGGAAGTCCCCAGACTGACCACGGAGCGCGTGCGTGCTCAGCCTCGGCGGCATCGACGCTTCCTCCCTCTGCCTCCTCCTCTCGCCGGCGCTCAGCTGGCTCCTGGATCCATGCTGCTGCTGCTGTGCCTGCTCCTCGAGGATGGCCTGCTCCTCTTCCTCGTCATCCTCAATGTCAGAATTTTCCTCATAGAATTCCGGCAGCGGGTCGGTGATGTCCTTGAGTTCTAGTTCGGGGGCGATGGTGCCGAATTCAAAATCGTGTACTTTGACGGACTTGATGAAGCGCGGCAAAGGCACAGCCTGGAATTTGGTGTGGATGAAGTCGCGAATGCGGAGGGCCAGAGCCTCTCCGTCGGGGCCCGTTGTGAGCGTCTCCCAATTGAGGTCTATTGACATTAGAGCTGTTGTTTTGTGTGACAGTACAAAAGATACGTGAAGACCGAGTTGTTGAACAAATGAGGTCGTGAACCCAGGTAAGAAGGTACACTACTTAGGCAGTACGCACACAGGGTCAATGATGGATACCTTACCCTGCCCTGTAGGCTCTCTGTAAATTTTGCCTAGTGATGGGAGTCAGTGACTTCCAGGTGGCAGGGCACGGGCTTGGTGGGGTGGTAACGGCGGCGCTAAACTGGCTTTCTGGCGGACCGAGTTGCTCGTTTCCACAGGTGTGCTTGAACTCGTGGACAACATGAGGCACTAAGGTACTCATGGCCTTGCTGTCTGATAGGTATCTCACCACGCCTACTCGATCATCGTGGGGGGGCTTCATCTATCGTTTATGTGCCATTATAGGGTATTCGTATTGTGAAGGCCGTGATTCATCGACGCCATAATGCTACCTTAGGTCATTTCTTTTGCGGACTCTAATAGTTCCATCTACTCCCTAAGATTAGAATACCTCCATAACCATCAATCCATCCATCCTTATTGAAGGAAAACGCCGGCAATGCAATGCTCTTCTCGCTCTCAGTGCTACAACAGTCATTTAATTACAGTCGAGTAACCCGTGGCAGACAATGTTCATGGGTGGCCGGGGATTTAATCGGCCTTTGCATCTGATTCGAACCGTGGCCTCATGGTGTTGTTGAGTTGAGGCACACCGAACTGATGCCAGCAATTTGGTGCTTGGAGGATATATCTGCACAGCCTGTTAGCCAATGACCGAAAAGAACCTGTCAAAGGAAATCCGGCGAGAACATACCTGGCCATCGCCTCTCGGAAGCGAGACTTATATTCCTTTGGACTGGTCACTGTCGGGCGATTTCTGCCACCGCCAGCAAATCCTCGATCTTTGATCCAACTCTCGAGTTTCTTGTCCCACGTGTATGTCCGGATACAGTCAATGATACCAACAACCAACTCCTTCTTAGCTTCGTCTACTGCGATCATCAAAGAGTAGTCCATCACGTTCTGCCTTGCGAGGAACAGGGTGTCGTTCCAGACCTGCACTTCTGTTAGTATCCAGCTTCTGATGCCTTGTCTGGGTAACTTACGGAAGCTCTCAGAAGCTTCTTGGAATGCTCGCGCGCGAATAGAGGAGATTCATAGATGAATTCGACCATGTTCTCGTCAAGAAGGACCTCGTTCTGCTCGCCTGTGGACTGGATCTTGCGATTGCGCATTGATCCCTTCAAGTCGAACAGACGTGTCGGGCCACGATCGTAGAAGAGATTCTCCATCAGAAGAAGGTCTAGCTTGATCTCAACGCCAGTGACTGGATTCTTGATGATCAGTTGGAAGAAACCTAGCATCTTGGCAATGACAGAAGGCAAATCATGGAACAGAGCCTCTGCCATGATGCCGAAGTAGGCTGGGGCGAATCGCAGGAAAGCCGACGTCTCAATGGGCGACAAGCCCTGCATGTACGTTAACTCATGATTTGCAGCATGGAATCTCGGAGAAATGGGACGTCATCGTACCTTGAGAACCAGTCGATCGTCAAGAGTCTTGAGAAAGACCGACTTCGTTTTTCCGCCCTTCGAGTCCCACTTCAAGCAGCGGGAAAGAGACTCAACAATGCGATCTGCAACACCGCACTTCCGGCGAAGCGCATCGAATTGCTCGGCATAGAAGATCTTGCAGAGCATTGTCGCAGAACCTTCCTTGAATTGGTATTTGAGATGGGTACCCGTGGCTCTGAGCAGACTCTTCTCCAGGTCACCCTCTTCCATCGTGAACTCACCGCCAGTGTCAGACATACCAGAAGACTTGCCCTCGAGATTCGATGCCTCATAGTCCTTTTGTATGGCCATCCGCTCTTGACGGCGAATATCAGCCAGCTTCGTGCGATAGTCATCAGAGCTTAGCGCAAAGGCAATGACGGAGGAAGGCTCGTCCTCTCGTACAATCACGTCCGAGTCGAGGAAGATGTGATCGCTGGCATTGACCGGGTAATCCAACTGAGGCCAGCCGCTCGCAGATCGCTCGGCCCAGAAGTTTGTAAGCATTTTCATCAAGCTAGTCTTTTGATGCTTGGGCAGTTCCAACGGAATCTCGGTGCTGGGCTCAAGTGAGTCTGCGAGCTCTTTCACATCGGGTAACAAGTCGCCTAGTATGGATTCTTCGTTGTCGCTTTGTCCTTCGTCGTCCGATCCACCGTGGCTGGCAGTGACCGTCGCAGTATCGTCAGTCTCTCCGCCAACGTGGTGCTCTTCAGATGCGGCCGGAGCTTCTGTTACAGGCTGTGGCTCTCCCGTAGGCGGCATTGTGTCAGGTTCCGTATGCACAACACCCGGAGGTGCTGGAGTGACGGGCGCCGTCTTTGGCTCGAGAATCTTGATCTCATGGTTTTGTTCAGTGTTTGACGGTCCGGCCTCCTGGACGGCATTGTCAATGTTGTGATAGACCTCCACAATGGCCTTGGTTGCTGAGCGTGGCAGACCGGCACGAGGTTGATGTTTCGCAAGGCGCTTTCTGCGATCTTCCCTTTGCCTTTCCTTCTCGAATTCGCGACTCAGCTGTTCAAAGTGCTTGGCGATCCTAGATACCTGAGACGACACGTGGGTATCCTTCTTCTTTGTGATCAGCCGAGGGATTGAGGAGGGACCGGCCTTTCTATGGCTCTTCATCCCCAACGCCAGCCGATCAAACGGTTTCTTTTCCACTTTAAAGGATGTCTCGCTGGCATTCTCGCTGGGCCCTGCGCCATCCTTTGGCAAGATTGACTTGGCAAAGCTTGGTTGCAATCTCGGTAGCGTTTGGGCGGGCTGAGATAGAGTTCTAATCATCGGAGCCCTGCGAGCCAAAGTTCGCTCCGGGTTTGCTTTCGGTGCCTCAGCGGGCTCGTTGGCTGAGGGTGTCTCGTTACCCATGACCTGTTGCTCACGTCGAAGCTGCTCGACCTTTTCTGAAAGAGAAATTCCCGTGGAGGTCGTAGTAAGTGGAGGTCTGGAAGTCGGTGAAGTTGGCTCGATAGCACCCGAACCACTCGAAGTCTCTCCAGCTTCATCAATGGCAGCAAAAGAGAATGGGCTCTTTCCTTTCGGTGAGCTTGGGGTAGCCAAATCCAGAGGCTCTACTCTATCCAGTACGGATTCGGCCGGCGTACTGATTTTGCTAGTCTCCGAGGACTCGGGATTCTCGTCTCTGGTAGCGGGCTTGTCTTTAGAAACGGGTCGAGGTTCTTGTTCTTGAGATGGCTCTGGGTCTGGAATCGGCTCCTTTTCCTTGAACCCTTCAGGCTCATTCTCTGGGTCGCCTTCATTCTTGGTCATCTCTGAGACACCTTCCTCGCTAGGTTCAGTTGGGTCGGTTGGTTGAGTCGAAGACTTCTCATCAGCATCATCTGAGAAAGTTTGAGATGGAGGTTCCCCGGAGTCCACGGTGGAATTACCGTCTGTGGAGGGAAGAGACTCTCTCGATTCGTTGTCCGAGAAGATTTTCTTGAGCTGAAGCATCGTCAACTGGCGCAAATCTTTGTCCGGCAGAAAATCCGTCTCGAATTTAGTGAAAGAAGCATCCCAATCGCCGGCCTTCTCCAGCATCTCCCTGACAATGGCATTGAACGGAATGACTTCGTAATACTTGGAATTCACGTAAGTTTCCTGAAGTCTGCGGGTCAATGCGACTTGATCATCCTGCGCTTTCTTGGCAAGTCGGTCGACTTCGGTCTTACACGCATCGGCCTTCTCAGGCAGAACGCTGTCGATGCGGATACTTTTGATCCTGAACTTGACAGAGTTGATGAAGCGGACCCAACGTTCCTCGATCTTGTTGAAGATCTCGTTCTTGAGCTTGAGGTCATTTTCGACCTTCCACGTAATCCGAGCTCGGGGGACGACAATTTCGAGAAGATCGATGGGATCGTAATGAATCCTCACCCAGGTGTCGCGATAGTGGAAATACCGGATGTGGTCGCGGTGATGGTCGTGCGGGCACCCAGAGAACTCGTGAAGCCGCAGGCCTCTGCTCCAAAAGAGAAGCTCAAGGTACTTGCCAAAAGAGTATTTCCATGTGCTGTCAGACATTCCCATCTCTGGAGAATCCTTCTTGCATGTTTTGCAGTAGCTCCACATAGTGATACCGTCCAAGTTGCGTCTCTTGGCCGCCGGCTCAACAAAAATAGTGACTCGCGACTCATCGTGGACGTAGGTGCGATGATGCGCCGTCATCTTCCGGTCACAGCCATTGGCTGTGCATATCGAATCCTTACTGATGCACAGATCTTCAATGTACTGACCGAGGGTGCAGTCCGGATCCATGCTTCCGCTCTCGTCGACATGCTCGTCGTAGAACGCAATCGCAATCAACCCGGGCTCTGAGCACGGAATCTTCGTCTCTGTACAGATGACTGAGTACAGAACGACAATGTTCTGGTGAGAATAGGGATCGAAAAGGTCGAGATTGCCCTGGATGTAATTTTCCCATTGCCGGGTCTGTACCTGGTAATTGTAAAGCGCCTTGTCGTATTCGGCATCATGAACGGCGTGCAAAATTTCCATAACCTGGCGCGGCGCTTTCTGCCCAATAGCGTGGACCATTTCAGGCTTAATGAGCTGGAACTTTTGTGACTTTGACTTTTCGGCGTCAATCTGTTCCTCAACGACATCTTGATCCCTCAGCCGCTTCAAGTAAACCAATCTCCGTTCTTGCTCTCGCGCCTTCATGAGCAAGTAAGGCTGCGCAAACTTGACGAACGGAGAAGCTGAGAGAATCTTGGTCTCATATCTCGCAACCATATCGCTATAGTATGTTGGCATCGGCACGTCTTCTGGCACTTGGGACTCAGGAGACGTGGGTGGAACGTGAGAGGCATGAAGAGATACGAGTGGAGGGCGTTCTTCTACAACAGGCTCTTCAGTCTGATCTGACGATACGGTACCCTCAGCAGTGACCAACGACGTGCCGTCACTGGTTTGTGTGGGGAGTTCAGACTCCGGGGGCGAGGTCTTTGTTATTTGCGGTCCCGTCTCTGCGAGTTCAGTTGACGCGCTGAGAGATCTAGGACCATCCTCGGGATTTTGGCGGAGAGAAGATGACAGAGAGGACGATTCCTCAGGCTCTGCAGGCAGCTGGATGTACTCGTCTCTCATCAAGCATGTCTCCAGTTTCAGGTTGTACACGACATAGACCATGAACTCTGTGATCTTCTTCATCTTTGACAGAACCTCAGTTGAGTCGCCACGGAGAGCGATCGTACAGCCAAGCTTCTCAGAGCACCCGGAAAGGAAAATGTACGTCTTTTTCTTTCCGGGATAGTTCTTGTTGACGTATGTCTTGACTTCGAAGCCGCCAGATCTTCCGACTTGGACTTGCAAGGCCAGCATGTCGAGAGAGGAGATGATGTCTGTTTCTGCACATCTTGATACGGCCTCGATAACCGATGGCTTGACGTTGTAGGCGACAGCTATGCCTGCCTCGGAGAGGTACTGCAAGGCAACGCCAGACACAGACTTTTCACAGAGAAGTAGTTGTGGGCGCAAGTTGATGATGCGGTTGACGACAATTCGTAAGAACTCTTTCTCCTGCTCAATGACAGGTTGGAGGCTCATGAAGTGTTGCTGGTGGCGCTGGTACTCTATCGGGAAAGAGACGATGACGATACGAGGATTGAGAATACGGCGTGGCATGCTCTTGAGAGCAAGGTTCTTTGTGAATATGACACCTGAGACGTAACTCGTGTCCCCGGGTTTTCCGCCTGGTATTTTCTTAAGCTTGACGTAATGTCGTATGTCCATGTCATCTCCAACTCTAATGTCCGGAGTAACGTCGTCGGTGCACTGGAGCAAAATGGGAACTAGAGCCTTTTCCCATGCTGGCACATTAGGTATGCCGGAGTCCTCGAGCAACTGGTGCAGGAGTCTCTTGACATGCAACATACTAGATGGATTGAGCTCTACCTGTGGCTGCTTATCCGCTTGCATCGAATCGCTTCTAGTCAATTTCGTGGCTTCGATAGCAGGATTCTCAATGGTGAAGACGTTCTCATTGGATGCGGACGGGCCCTTGAAGATGCCGGATTTGGGGCGGGGGGACCTCATCTGATGGCTCACATTGCTGAGATTGCGTCTTCTCGCGGGGCGGCCATGACCGATGAGGCTTCCGGAGCCTGCATTGTCGTCCATTCCGCGGCTCGTGAAGCTCAACCCGCTGACACTCTTCTCCCCTCGCCCAAGTCGGTGTCTCCTTCCCGTGCTCAAGAACGGTCCGAAGCTTGACTTCTCATGGTCGTAGCTTGACGGTTGTAGATCAGCGTTTGACATGGTGGCAAATATGCTCATCTGTTCGTCACCGCTGGACTCGTCTGACATGTAGGCAGCCAGTTCCGGGTCGATGATATTGTCGTCGTGGAAAGCCGGATATTTCGGCTTCTTGGCCATCTCTTCAGTGATTCCCTTGCGGAACGGGGCTCTGTCGTCTGGCATTGGCTTGAACCTTGACATGAAGTTGTTATGATGCTTCGAATGGTGTCGTCTGTGACCTGACGATTGCGGCCGATTTGCGGATGTTAAAGACCTCAGAGAACGTGAGGAGCTCGGGCGGCTGAGCTGCGGTGCATCTATTTCCAGAATGGCAGAGTTTCGGTTAGAATCATTGATCCTTCTGGTGGCAGGAATTGCCATCATAGGTGTCTGGACAGATCTCGCGTCACCCAGGTCCTCCATCCGATCAGCAAAACTCGGTTCTTCAACCTCAGCCTCTGCTTGCGTCACCTTGGGGGTTGCCTTGGTTTGGCGAAACAGAGCTGGCAAGAATGAGTCGTCTCCAGAGTCGTCAGAGCCGCTCCCTTCATATAGTCGCTGATTGATGACTTTTAGGCAAGTTTTGCAAACTCTGAGGGTACCTGTCATACCGAATTTTGAGGCTGGGATGATGGAAGTGCATTTGGAATCAAAAATACACCCGCAGGTTCGACAATGGTGCTTTCTTCTAAAAGCTGAGAACGGCTGACCGCATATGAAACATTCTTTGCACGTTTCATCAGCCATCCAGAATTCTTTGCTCAGAACCTGACGCCGCATCCTGTCAAGCCTGGCGTTGACTTGTTCAGGGGCACCTTCGTTGGTCGTTGTGCCAGGAATGCGCAAAGCCCCCGTTCTTCCATGTATGGGCTGAGCAGCGTGGGCGAAGGAGTCATGGTACACAGAGTCGTGGGCAGTCGTACTGATGGGGCTGGGTTCTGCGGTGACATGTTCCATTGATGAAGATCTTGATGGAGCATAGCCAGGTGACCGAGAGCGACTGATGCGATCAATGACTGCTGGTCGCTTCGGAACCAGCATCATCGACGACGTCGATAATGTAGGAGACCGGGGATCCGCTGTCTGCAACTTAGGGAGTTGCGGTGCGCTGGTCTTGATCGGGCTCAGGGGCTTATCTGAAGGACCGTCGACAGCCGCGTCTTCGCGTCTGGGCCGGGTAATAATTCCATGGGTTCGCTCGGGGAGAATTGCGCCGGGTTTGGGCTCTAGGACGTCGAACTTGTGATCATGCGCGATCCCAAATAGCCGCGGATCAGGGTGTTTGCTGATGCTCCGCCTCCCAGACGTCCGAACTGGGCCATCCTCCATGCGAGCTACGCTTCTTGTTGCTGTAGCCGGAGCGACCTCAGGATTGATGGCCGTGACTGCTGAAGCTTTGGCCACGCTGGGCAAGCTTTGCCGGCTGGCAGCGCTCGATTTAGACGCTGTCATCGCGGAAATGGATGTCGCTTTCGATGACTGAGGGGGATGCGACTGGCTGTCAGACATGACAGTGTTCATTCCTGACGAGGAAGTACCTGTCATGGGACCGTCGTGCGTTGTGCCCGAGTTGAATGAAGAGCTCGTAGCGGCGGTTTCGACACGGGTGAGAGAAGCGATGGGTATCTTCGGGGTCGTAGCCGTGGTGCTGGTGCTGCGTTTCGATGCAGCATCGAAGCTGTCGCCATCGTCGACGTCCTGCTGTCTCGCCCCGCCAGCGCCCACCGCCTCTTTTAGCCGACTGTAGAGCCCACTGAGGCCATTCTGAACCAGCTCTCCTGCCAAAACCTTTGTTTCTGTCGCCGGAAGAGATGAGGGAGGAGGAGCAAAGTCGTTGAATGTCGTCAAAGAGTCAGACTGGCTCGCCGACGTATGGATTCTGTTCAGAGTATGGGCTAGCTGGTCCTTATCGGCCTGCGAGGCGGTGGATATAGAGTTGATAGAATCATGGCGGCTCCTAAAGCCTGGAGGCGTGGATAGAACTGCCGGAGAGTTTGGCTTCGATGTGTTGTTGCTCGCCATCTTGCGCGAGCACGAATGCGACGAGTGGAGGACTAAGCTCGAGTGTGTCTATAACGTGTGTAGCGCTAGCATCTTTTTATGTCAGGTTGACATGGTGGACGGTCGCTGGATGTAGTTATTCGTGAGGTATCTCGAGAAATCGAAAGCTTCTCCCCGTAGTCAATCTCGACCTAATCGGACCAAGTCTAGCTTATGTACTCGTGGTTCGTGGAAGCGAGGGGTTCGCTATCGTCGGTAGGGGCTTCTTTGTCGATGTCTATTTCGGGACTCGAAGGTGGTATATATCGGTGTAGTCTCGGAAAAGACGCGGGCAAGATACGGTATCTAAGAAGAGCACAGGTGACGAAGAGGAGAACCGACGTGGCGAAGGTCAGGCTCTAGGTGTATGTGTATGTTCGGGCGAAGAAAGATTGGGTGTGGGATGTCGTCTTGGGTCCCCGCGTAAGGTTGTCTGCAGTGCTGCAGAAACAAGCAGTCTTGGAAATGGTGCTGATGGGGTTTAGAGGGCGGACTATCCGTAGACTACTGCGAGCCAGGCAGCGCTATCCCTTCAAGGTCTAGGCCCGCGTGGCCCTGCGATGACCAAGTCGGCACAATCGTCAAACGTGGGTGGGATGACGCAGCGACGCAACGAAGTTGGGGTTGGGTTGAGCTGGCACTGCGCAGTTGGCAAATCCCAGGGGGGTGCCGTAGGTAACTGCACAACGCAGCAAGTACCTATTCCAACGTTTCGCAGAAAGGTAGGCGTTAGTGTTGTCTACGATACCTCGGGAATGGCTGACTTTGAGACGCCCTCGAGCAGTCCATATGGGAGAGCCCGTTGCAATGCAAGCTGGGCGAGGCAAAAGGCGGTACGGAGCACCTACCGGACATGCTTAAGGTATCCGTACTTGACCTTACCTCATCTGTTGCAGCACATGTGGATGTACCCGGTACCCGTTGCCGTCCCCCGACACCAGAAATGCCAGTAACTAATGGAAAATAGGTACCTTGGCTGACCCACCCACACTCATAGCACCTGGGTCCTGGGCATTTGGGGACTTGGGGACTTGGGGACTTCAAGTTCCGAAGCTCGGACCACTATTCTGCCTTTTCCAGCACCACCCAGGAACCCCGCAGTTGCTGCCACTTTACCTTGGACACCCAGCATGGGAATTCAACAGGGAGCCAGGGACACGCCGAAAAACGCGTTTTCTCAAAGTACCTTGGTATCTTTGTCGCGTTAATCAATCGACAGCTTTTGGTGTTCACGGTTCACAGAAGCCTCGTTCCTACAATTGATTACAACCGTCAGCAAAAGTCATATAGATTCATCACCATTCACTCCAAGATTTCTTAATCTTCCCTTGACAGCATTGTCTGCCACCCTACCAATCCCCATCACAACAAACACCTCGCCTTTATACCAAATACTGCTTGTTACACCAGCTAGCAACCCAATCGCGGATGCGGAACTTCACGATCACAGCTCAAGGCTGCGATCCTCACCACCACCATGACTAGTCCATCGAGTAGCTCGGAACAATCCGTAACGTCTACTCCCTTTGGTCTTCGCAATGGAGCTCAGATTCCGCGGAAACTTGTGAAGATTCCCAAGGATCAACAAGCAATCTTTTCAGACAGCGGAAGACAACCGTGGATATCAAATCTCAGAAACAACCAACAGCAGAATACCGCCAGAGTCCCGCCAAAGGTCCTTGAACAAATTAAGTATTTTCATACCTCTCGAACCCTGCCGCCACCTGCTCAGAAGCCAAATGCGCCTCTTTCCAGTGGGCCAACTGCATCAGTCTCAGTCTCCGAGAATATACCCAACGATCAGCAAGATGATGAATCAGACTCTGAGCCAGAGGTGCCCGTCAGCTCCTGGCCGGAATCTCCCCCACGACTGCCCCGTGGAAGGGTGCCGCAAGGAACTCCTTCTCCAGCACCTTCCATTAGGTCACAAGTCATCTTGACCCAAGGCCAGTCTGGTGTAGAACGAATTATCTCCCAGTCCCCACCACCGCGGACAAGAAGCAGTCCTCAGATTCGGTCTTCGCCACCGATCGTCCCAGCCACCAAGCAACAGATATCACCTCTTATAGGCGCCAAACGTCGCTTCCAGGTTGACGTGTTTCCTTCCAGCAGCGCCGGTGTTGAAGACGAGTTGGAAACCGCCATCCCAGGGGCTCTCTGCGAAGCGACACCCCCTATCAACAGAAGAGCTGCGCGTTTGACTACTGCATCCCAGGCCGTCACCAGTCCTCCCTGCGGTCAAGGAAGCATAGTTCCGTCCACTTACAAAGACATTAAGAGCTCTGACAAGGTGGAAGAACCAGTTTGCAAGAAAAGACGAATGAAGGCAGTCGAACTGAGCTCCCAAGAAGTTGAAGAGGAGCGCCCTTCGGCAGATGTTGACCCACAATCTGTAGCACCACTTCCTCAAACTCATCAAAGAGCCCTACAGACAGCCTCAGGCTCTGCACTTGCGTCAGCGTCTCTTATCACCGACGAGCAACCGAAACTGGGAACACCCAAGGTCGTCAAAGATGCCCCGAGTCTCTCTAGAAGTGCCGGTCTTGGTCACAAGGCAGGCAAAACATCTCGTCCAGATGTTACGCCCTCGAGAGCACACGTCCAACCAACCCTCGAGAGTGTAAGCAAGGTGAAAAACAATATTCCACTGGCCACACGTGGAGTATTGTCCGAGGGCGATAGCCTGGAATCCTCGAAGGAAGAGGTTCAGCGGCAGAAGGCAATATCGTATCTCAACGAAGCATGGAAGCGGAATGGTCTTGATTGGATTCCGGCCGCTTTCCAGCACCTCCAGCCAACTCTGACGACTCAGAGTCTTGGGGTCCTGGTTGACATCACCCATCAGGCATCAAAGAACGGTATACGACTTGCAAGGCTGTGGTCGAAGCCTGATGGTCCGCTTTATAAAGCGACTTCGAACATTGCAGGCGACAGACTGATCTTCTCCGAAGACGTCGCCGAGGCATCACTCTCTTTCTTCGAGGCAGAGAAGTCGGAAGCGGCAAAGACTCGAGGCACAGCTTCGCGTGAAGCAAGAGTAACACCGGCCGAAAGCTCTTCGAGGCCCGTAAGCCGTCACGGGACAGTGTCGCAAGTGGCACCTATCAATCCTTCGCCTCCACCATCGCCCAGCGCAATGCAAGGTGTGCAGCTGACTGCTATTCCGCAAGTGCTTCAAGAAAGTCGACATCAAACCATCAATGTCCATCGTCCACCGCAGGGCTCGGTCGCGAGGCCTCCTTTTGCGCAGGATCCGCTGGAAGCTTTCCGCCACGCATATCCCTCCTTTTCGGGCAGCGTAGGTGACTTTGTGAAGGCTTGTTTCACGATCAAAGACCTGCGTCGGAAACGACTGCTTCCCAAGTGGCTCTACGACGACTTCATCCGCGCTTTCGTGGACGGATTCGTCCCTTACATCCAAACCCTGGACGATGACGAGGAGCCGCTCTCGGCATATCAGTGGTACGTCGAGTACGTGGACCGGCCAGCATATCAGGGCGGTGTCGTGACACGCGAGAATCTGTATCTAGTTTTCAAGATCTACCACAGCGAATTCAAATCGGCAAGAGAGTCTGTGTTGGAGAGCGGAACTCCGTTTCCAGAGGTTGCACAGAGGCGTCTCTCTGAGCAATCAGCGGCGTTGAACCTGAGCGTGGGTCCTAAGACGCCAGTTGCGCAGAATAGCAACCCCACCCCAAAGCCTCATATCGAGACACGCCCATCGGACGACACGCCTAGCAAGCTTGCCTCCTCTTCGGTGCATGCTTCAATTGCGGAACAGCCGATTGCTTCAAAGACAAACAGCATTGACCATGTTGGCGAGCAGTCTGCTAATGAACCTCATACTCACAATGCCTTACCTCCTGCACCGGACATCCCCCCTACCAATGGGGATAAGGCCAAACAACAAGTGACAAACAACGCGGCATCAAGCCCTCGGAACCCTCCGGTGTCTGTCCCGGCCATTCGACGACACACAAACGCTCTGCAGGACGACGAAGACGTCACATTCATATCCAGTACCCCGCGGCCTCGTACCGCAAATCCTTTGAAGGAAGCCATCAAGACGGAAAGCAACAACAACGGCATAACCGCCGCCGCCACCACCACGCCATTACCGCAGAAGGCAGTTCTCAACCCACTCCTATCTGAGCAGAGGGTACCTTTATTCTCGAAGCCCACCAAGGCCACCATCATCGCAGAGACCCCGCCGCGAAAGACAGCCAGCCCGCCCAAGCGGACTACCCAGCACCCAGCAGCACGTCGTAGCCTGCCGGCCTCGTTCTCCGACGGCCGGCCGCCTCCCGCTTCAATGCCGATCAAGGCTCCAGTACCAGTGACGACGAGCCCGGCGGCGAGCCCCGTGCCAAGCGGCACGCCAAAAACCGTGTTGGGTTCCTTTTTCCAGGAGAGCCGCGTGAAGAAACCCAAGCAGAAGGCGGCCATGACGGAGAAGGAGAGAAGACAAGCGGCTTTGGCCAAGATGGAGAGGATGTCGAAGGAAGGACGGTATAAGCCACCGTCTAGCACGATGCCTCCCACGTCTTGAGATGTTGAGCCAGAGGCCGGTATCCTTTATCTACAGTCTTGAGCCATTGTTTGAGAGTGGGCGAGAATGGGCGAGAATGTGGGCATCACAAGTTGATTTTTGTATTGAGTAAAAGGGGTTGGCCGATGCGATTCTGTAGTAGCTGTCGTTCCGAGGTTCATTCCGTATCGATCAGCACTCTTTCTTGATCTGCAAAATGGAAATGGAGATGAAGCATAACGACACAGACTGGGCGGAAAAGGCAAGACTTTTGATTTGAGTACAATACCCCTTTTGTAGCGAAATGGTAAAAAGTATCAATTGTGTTATACAGCAGGTGCGATGAGGCCACAAGTGGCAAAACTGATGCTTCTCTCCAAAATAACAAGGCCAAGGTTCTAAATTGCTCTGGCAATCAATCTGATCTGTCTAGACTGGATCTAGTTGTGCTTTTTCGTGCCCGGCTCTCTGGAGAGTCTTGAAGGTGTTCTATGTCCCCTTTAGAAAAAAACATTTCGCCAAACCCCAAGATGCTTCCCGTCGTATCCTAGTCGCAAATGAGTTGAGGGTGGTGGGTAGCTTGAAGGTGGGGGTGTGTGATTTGGGTTTCCGTGTCGCCGCAAAAATCCATGAGCCGACTCCGTATAGGTAGTGTTCACAAGAAAAAAAACACCCTTTCTCTCTCCAGTGTTCCTCAATAGTTGTTGCCCTGTGTTTTCCCAATATTCCGTCATGTCTCAAAGGTCGTATCTCTCGTGTCATTACACCCCCCGAGGTCGCCCCCAAGGTGATGTTGTGTTGTGGGTATATGGTTTTTATGGTATCTGTAATTTGCTCAGGTCGAGTCCTCGGAAGCTTGGGCCTCGGCGGCCTTCTTGGCCTTTTGTCTCTCTTCCTCTTCGGGAGTGAGGGTCTTGAGCTGAAGGGCGTGGATCCCACCCTCGCGGGCCATCTCCTCGCGCAAGAGGGCGTAGACCATACGGTGGCGGGCGGACTGCATCTTGGACCTGAAAGACTCGGAGGTAATGACAAGTCTGCGTGACGGCTGTTAGTCAAAAGAGATCTCGGACCGAGAAATGGCAAGGTCTGATTTGTCGTACCTGAAGTGTGTTTCCTTGGAGGTGCTACCAGCCATGGCCTTGTGGTGGCTATGGAGGTGGGAGTCGTTGTAGATTTCGAGGGTGGTGGGGGAGAAGGCAGCGGTCACCTGTGGTTCGGTCAGCAACGTTGGCTCATGGACAAGAAGACTGTCTCAAGGGCAGGATATCTTACCTTGGACCGAATAGCGTCCTCAACGGGGTTGGTGGAAGCCATAGTTCCGTGGGGTCTGGCAGCGCCCGAGAAGCCGAGGGCGTATCTTCGCAACATTGGTGTGTGTAGGTGTGTAGTTCCTCCGGTCAAGCTACTCCCAATCCTGCCGACAATGGGGCGGAATGTGTTCATGGGGAGTAGAAGGGGAGGAGGAAAGAAGAGAAGAGGGAAGGAGGTTTTCAAGTAGAAAAAAAAAGTAGGATGCGACGGCGTGCGGCGTGCGGCAGCGTGCGTCGACCGAGAAGCGGTAAGGAGGTGTAGAAACTGGACAGGGGAGAATAAGAAAGCTGCCCTTGCGCTGGTGTGTAGTGTACGGATACCGGTGTGCGGTGTGGGTTGTGGTTTGCTGTGATTTGCTAGCCCAACAGCTTTTTTTCGGTTTAGGTAGAGAGCGACGAGAGCGGGAAGCAGAGGAATGGAGCCGCTGCGCTGCTGCGTGTGCAAAAGGTACGGTGTGCAAAAAGTGTGACCCTGGAACTTGGGACTGGGAGCCGAAGCATGGATGATGGGAGATGGGGGTGGCGCTGGTGGGTTGACGCTTGACAGAGAGGAGAGACCGAGAGAGAGGAACGAGGAGGAGGAGGATGAGTGGATGATGGAGAATAGCCCAAAGCGACAATGGAGGCAGACCCCGGCCAGGTAAGGTACGTCGTGGGAAAAAAAAAGAAGGTAGAGGAGATTCGGTGTATCGGTGAGAAAAGAGCGGACATGCGGGATGGGCTTGGCAGGCAACATGGCACATGCGTCCCGGCCAATCAGCAGACCGGGGGCCTTGCCTCTGTCCTTCCGGTTGGTAACCGGAGGACCCGCACCGGGGAGGCACTTCCAAACTTCCTTCCAGCACCACTGCACCACTGCACCACTGCACCAGACAGCGGTGCGATGAGACGAGACGGCCAGCATGTCCCAAGTTCCTTCTCATCCTAAGGTACCTCAACGTGCAGTACATTCTTTTTTGTTGTTGGCTTTTTTGGTGGTCTGCGGTAGTCTACCTATGTGTAAAGGCAGGCAAACCTTGCTTACCTGACGGACGCCTTCTTTCTCGTATTTTCAGCACTTTCCTCCACGGACACGCGCACAATGCTACAAGCAAGTAAGATGGAGGGGGGAAAAAAGAGTCAGCCATTGCCACTCATTTCCTGGTTGGGTTGTATTTTTGGCCTCTCATGTCTTGGAGACATGACTGACTTGCAACTTCCTCCCAGATTTCCCCGCCGACCTCGTGTCAGTGTATGAGGTGGTCGACCGAGTTAGCTTTGCTTTTGCAGTAAGTGCGTGTCAGTGACTCTCTCTCTCTCTCTCTCTCTCTCTCTCTGTTATGCCCACCGCCCTTTTTTGTTTTTGCTTCTTGGAACCCTCCACGCACCTAGCTTACCAGACCCCGGGAGGCCTTACCGTCCCATGTTTCTGAGTGGTCCGAAGACGCTAACGCGCGTTGAGATTAGGTGGACCAACAAGAACACCTAGAACAACTGGGGAACGACGGAACACAGAGCAAGCAACAACAGCACATGGGCACCCGACACACCTCCAGGGCCTTGGATGACTCCTCAGCCCTCGTGCCCTGCCTGTTGGCTCCATTCTGCTCACCGCGTGTTTCCTGAACGATGCCACAGACGCCTTTTGCGGCTTGCCATCCGTATCCGTACCCGAGCCCCAAAATTCCAACCCCCAACCCTCGTCACCACGCATCAAAAAGGCCAGAGTCGGTCCCTCTTCTTACTCGAAAAAGTACGGATAGACTTGGAGTGATGGAGCCTTGAGCCACGCAGCAAGTGGCAGGGCACCCATTCATCATTGGGCACCTGATCATCTAGATCTCTCGGTTCCAGAATACCAGCTGTTCGCTCACAATGTCGCCAATGCATGCGGGCGGGGAAACCAAGAGCACTCTTTGGGGAGAGCTTCCAGGCACCTTGCATGGATATCGAATGTAGTGACGTGTGGTACGGTAACATTGTCGGTCGGCAGCGGGCAGAGATGCAGCAGACTTACCACCACTACAACCACCACCAGTGACCACGACCACAACAGCCAAGCGAGAGAGAGAGAGAGAGAGAGAGAGAGAGAGAGAGAGAGAGAGCAGAACCGTCGAGAGGACCGCAGGTAACTTTACCTTGGCACACTTGAATACCTGTCAACCTCGGAGGTTTACCCACACGCTATACAATGGAGGGACGGATAGGTAGGCAGAGGTTGGTGCCGCTTGGGAAACGTCGGCCGCTTCGAACGGTTCCCCCACCGCTAGACATCCTAGGGCCAGGAACGGATACATTGGACGTGGACCGATGGATGCATCACGGCATCTACGCAGTAAATACCAATACCTGATCCCAAGGCGCTGGGCCGTGAAAGCGCACCAACAACCCACGGTGCCACAGTCCAATATCCACGCAGGCGCACACACCATCTGACGGGTTTCCTTTCCGTGTCTCTGGTTTTCACACCTTCAACTCCGGAGCTCCATAAAAGAGTCAAGCCTCAACTAGAGGGAAGGGAGCTGCTAGGATGTCCGGGTAAGCCACACTCAACCACCCAAGTTTTCCGTCCGGTCTTCGGCAGATCCTGCCGGCGGTCCTGCAGGGAGAAGTCCGATCCGGGACCTGACAGAAGCCAAAAAATATTACCAGTCTATACCACCACACACACACACACACACACACACACACACACACACACTCACGCACCCAAACTGCAATCCCACGCCAACAGCTGCCGCGACCAGATCCGAGGGCAACCATTCGCAACTCCCGGGGTCCGTTCCCCCCTCCCCCCAATATCCACCCCGTCACAGCGCCGTGTTCCCGATCCTCCTTTAATCATAACGCAATTGATAACGACGCATATCTATTCCCCTCCTCCTCCCCCCACCCCCATGTTGGCCTCCGGTTTACGGAATGTAGCTCGACGGCCCGGCTGCTGCTGCTGCTGCCGAATATCCCCCTTCTCAGCCTTTGCCGCCGCCGCCGTCGCCGGTACTACAGCTTCCGCAAGCTTCAACCTCTCCCGTCCCGTGTCCCGATCCTTTGCTGCCGCCCGCGCATCGCAAACCGCAAGAATGGCTTCAACAACGACATCCCTCCCAAGGATCCCTCTCTTCGAGGCCATTTCCAGGCATGACCCCGAGTCCACGGCTGTAATACACTCCTTGTCCGGCCGCCGCTTCAAATACGGAGAGCTCCTTGGCGACGTGCGCCGCGCGCGGGAAAAGCTCTTGGATTCAGCGGGCAAGTCGGATCTCAATGGCGAGCGCATTGCATTCTTGGTAGAGAACAGTTACGACTATGTAGGTAAGCCAAGTCGCATACCCCTTACATTACAGCTCTTAGATTTCTTTGGCTGCATCCCAAGCAATGCGCCTCGGTTCTAACACTTGCTTGATTCCTAGTGACCCTCCTCGCCGCCTTCGCCGCGCGATCTATCGCCGTACCTCTTTCCCCGGCCTTCCCCGCTGCCGAGCTTCAATACATCCTGAACCAGAGCGAAGCGTCATTGCTCGTGTCTTCGGCCAAGTTCGCAGCCAAAGCAAAGGAGGTCCTCGCCACAGAGCTCGTCTCGAACCCTACGCAAGTCGAGCTCCAGAAGCACCTCGGTGGCAGCGCGCATGAGCAAGTTGAACTTGACAATTCCGATGCCGACGGTGCAGGCATGATGCTGTACACTTCCGGCACCACCAACCGACCGGTTCGTCGCCCTCTTTCCGAACTCATGTGGCACCTTCGAGCAGAATCACTAACTCTCTACCCTAGAAAGGCGTTCTCCTTCCCCAGTCCGTCCTGACGGCGCAATCCAAATCCCTAATCGAAGCATGGAACTATACCCCGGCGGATCACCTCCTCCACGTCCTCCCCCTTCATCACATCCACGGCACGGTCAATGCTGTCCTCACGCCGCTCCTGTCAGGCTCCACTATCGAGTTCATGTTCCCCTTCAACGCCGACGCGGTCTGGAAGCGCCTCGCCGCGCCCTACATCACTTCCAACGGCACAAACGGTGTAAACGGTACCAACGGGGTCAATGGAACCAATGGCACAAACGGGACACACAAGAACATCGCAAAGGAGAAGATCACCTTCTTCACCGTTGTGCCAACGGTCTACTCCCGCCTCCTCGCAACCCACAAACTCCTCGCCCTTGACCCCGCCGAGCCCACACGAGAAGCCGTCTCCCCGCGCAACATGCGCCTCGCCATCTCCGGCTCAGCCGCTCTCCCGACGCCTATCAAGGAGGCCTGGAAGACCTTGTCCAAGGGCAACGTCCTCCTCGAACGGTACGGCATGACGGAGGTCGGCATGGCCCTCTCCTGCGGTCTTGATTTCGCCGACCGCGTCGACGGCAGCGTCGGCTGGCCCTTGCCCGGCGTCGAAGCCCGCCTCGTCGATATGGACACCGGCCTGGTCATCCCTCCCGGCGAAGACGTCGACCCCAAAACAGGCCGTGAGCGCTCCGGCGAAATCCAGCTCCGAGGTCCTACAATCTTTAAAGAGTACTGGCGCAACCCCGAGGCGACAGCCAAGGAGTTCGTCGAAGGCGAGGACGGCAGAGGGAAGTGGTTCAAGACGGGCGACGTCGCCGTCCGGAGACCGGTCCCGAACGCGGGGCTCAACGCCGCGCAGGTGTCCTGGGCCAAGGGCGACATGTACTTTATCCAGGGCCGCAAGAGCGCCGACATCATCAAGACGGGCGGCGAGAAGGTCAGCGCCCTCGAGGTCGAGCGCGAGCTGCTCTCCCTCCCCGAGGTGGCCGAGGCCGCCGTCGTCTCTGTCCCCTCGGGCAAGTGGGGCTCCAAGGTCGGCGCCGTCGTCATCCTCAACACGGACGTCGTCCCACACTGGTCCCCGATGGCCATGCGGAGGGCCCTCCGGGATCGGCTCGTCAACTACAAGATTCCCCAGGTGCTCAAGGTCGTCGACCACATCCCGCGCAACGCCATGGGCAAGATCAACAAGAAGCAACTGGTCCAGGCCGTCTTTGAGGACCAGTTTAGCGGTGATGAATTGTAAGAATAAGTGGCTACTGGTGCATGGATACTGCTCTACTCACCTCATAATGTGAGATTCACATATACCTGTTTAACTAGGACACGGCGGAATGTTGCATAGAATTTAGATAAAATATATACCTTATTGAGCATTGCCCCCATTTACTGCGCACCCTTTTCGAAGTGAGATTGTAGGGATGAGATAGACCTCCCAAGATGATATCTTTTTGCGAAGGGAAAGCATAATTAACCCCTTTCACTTCATAAAGGGTGCGCGCACCAGGGCATTCTGGCCTAAACCTAGGTATCTATTCCGGATATTTCGCATCCGCCTATGTACTATCGATCATGGCCGTCTAGAAGTTCCATAAAACCCATTGATCTCTTTTTTCGTTCTCAGCAAACGCCTTCGTCGAGCTCCAAGGACTGTCATAAGAGAGAACTTTTTCCGCCCCAGAGATGCGTTATCATCGATGCATAGCGTAGCATTGCCCCCGTATTCCCCCCACTGGCATCAGGCAAAAAAATAAAAAAAATGAAGTCGGCTGAGAAAGTGCAACGAGAAGTGATATCGTGCAGAAGGAAGTCGGCCTTCTCGATAGGTAGTGGAGCCCATCGGTTCCAATAAAATGCGTTGGTGAGCATGTGGTGCAAGCTTGTGTAATTCGTTTCTGTGGTTTTTTCAGAGGCTATGTCCATCGCTTTAGACAGTGTGTTTGGCCTTTGCACGGCTGCTTCCGCTGTGTGCGCTGTCCGTGTGGCCGGAGAACTCGACAACCTCGTTGGCGGGGAGGTTCAGAATGTCCTTGAAGCGCTTGCCGATGTTCAGCAGGATGTCACGGCCCTTATCCTGCGAACGTCCCTTGCCACCAGCCACATCTCCGTCACCACGTCCAGGAATGCTCTTGCCAATGGTACGGGTCCAGACACCGATACGGAAGAAAGCCTTGCGGACGTTGACGACAACACCCATGACCTCTCCGTCGTCCTCAGCCTCGAGGGTCTCGCCAATAGCGGCCAACATGACGTGAAGCCAGAGATCGTCGATGGGGATGCTGCGCTTCTCCTTGAACTGGTAGGACCACTTGCCGCCATGCTTGTTCTGGGCATCCTCCCACTCGGGGCGGACGCCGGCCTTGAAGAGATGGTAGTCGGACTTGAGGGCAAGCTCGGAGACAGGGGCGATATTGTTCTGGTCAATGGTTAGCGAGCGATAAGAGGGGCCGCGAGGAAGGAATGTGCACGTACATAGACACCCCAAAACTCCTCGACTGAGTTGAAGGTGATGACCTCCTTCAGAAGATCATTCCAGTTGTCGCCCTGATCCATGTTAATATTTGGCCGCTTGCCATTTTCAACCTGGATAGACGGACCTTTCCACTGGGGGGCTTGGTGAACCAGAGAGTCCACTTGTTTTGCAGAGGGTGCTTGACGTTGAAGTTCTCCTTGTCGTGGAAAACGGTAACGGGCTTCTCCGAGTCATTCTCCTTGGTCTCGCTCTTCTCACCACCCTCGGGGGAGATGGGAATGGTGGAGAGGTCGACCTGCTGGTCGGGGTTCGTGGGTGTTTGCACAGAAGTCGCCATCGTGAATGGATTTGTTGTGATGTTTTCGGGCTGATTACGGATCGGACCGATGAGGGGTAGGATAGGTCGTCAGAGGCGCTGGGAAGCAATCTCTGGAGGAAAATACGAGTTAGGCTATCTCAAGGTTGAAGAAGCCAAAGGGAAAAGAGGTCGCTGTTCGCGGTTGTAAGGTGGAAGAGTTGGAAAGTGGGAGGGTTCCGCACGAGAGTGGCTGAAGGTGGTGGTGACGACGGTTGCTCGCTTCACTGTTGGGAAAGTACTGGAGGGCGATTGCTTCCTTCCAGGTATTCGGATGTGGGGGAGATTCCGACGTTGCGCCAGGCAAGTCAGCAAGGATCGGAAAGGGCGGATTAGAGGAAAGATTTAGAACGGGCGGTGACGTTCTATTATTTTTTTCGTGGGGAGACGACGAAGTCGAGAATTGGGAAGTTGCGATGGGTTTTGCACTTTGCGAGGGATTGCGCTCAGCAAACAGAAGTCTGAGTCTGCGAGCGAGAGCCTTTCCAGTCGCAAAAAAATGCCCAAGCGGGCTTGGCCAACGGGAGGGGAGCAAGGCGTCGAAAAAGTGGGGTATAGCAAGGTGTACCTCAGTACCTTCTTGGTGGGCGAGGCCTAGGTTTTTTTTATTTTTTGCGCAGGGCACCTCACAATTACGACCTAGCACAACTGCCACACCAAGCACGTAAGGCAGATGCCCACCCACTCAGTGAGGTGCGGTCCCGGGGTGCTAGTTAGGGCGGAGGGAAAAACCCCCGGCATCAGTAGGATTCCAGGTGAGAGCGGAGGCGAGGTGACCTAGCCTGATGGATACCGTCCCCTTACCTCAGGTTTCTCAAGAAGTGAAGGAGACGAAAAGTCCAGGGCAAGGTCAGTCTGGTCCCATTCAAGACCAGGTTTGCGGAAGTTTAAACAGCCCAGTGGATGTCATTTGCTCCAATAGTAGCACTTGTCAGGCTACAAACCTTGTAACTCCGTGTCGTTTTGTGAGGCTCGTTGAATGTCTGTCTTCAACGCCATGCAATCCGTTTCGCCAATATTGAGTTGCTTTTCCCCCTTTCTGTCTTCTCAAAACTAGCGGTCTAATAGCAGTATTGAACTGTTCATGTTGACTTTTGGCTTACGTTGCCTGTCGTTGCTCAAGGCTGATAAGTCAGATTACTTTCCTTTACTGCCTTCAAACTCAGCCACGTCCAACAGCTCAGACGAAGCTTCCGACTCCTAGGGTTGTGCTTGCTACTTTTCTGCTCCTGTCATCCGGATTGTTCCTCCTATTTCCTGTTTCTAACTCTCGCCCTTCGACCAGCTGTTTGCAGCCTTTTGCAGTTGTGACGGTTGTCTCCGTACTCGGCCAGAACCGAGCGCCGCCTCCTGACCCCTTCTCCTTGCCCCTTCCTACGCCAAAAGACACATCCTTGTTTCGACATCACGCCTTTTTCTGGCCTCGAGGCACTGCCTTCATATTTTTGGCTTTAACCTGCGGGTGAACTTTCCAGAAGCTCTCCCGGGTCTCTTCCGTTGCCAATCACAGCCAATGACTTGAAATGCTATTGTTTCTTATGAGGCTCCCACCCCTCTCGAATTATGTGACCTGCGAATTAGGTGGCCTGAGCAAAATTCCTTCATCATGAGTCAAACGACACGCGAACTAGGCATCTTTCCCGTCACCCTCTACCACCCTCTTCTGCACTCGAAAACTCAAGCGAGTCGACCTCGGCTTGAAGCGGTGATGGCTCTGGGGTTCGTTTCGGCCAGGCCGCTCTGCTTGTTTCAGTCATTGCACACTCCGCCCCACTTGCATCGAGGCTCTATTGACGTCGTCTCTCAATGAATAGAGGGTACTTTCATTATGGAAGAGCTGCATTGTGCTCATCGGTATTGAGTGGAAGACACAGGATACTTGCTCTGCTTACTCTCATGCTCCTCTATTACATCGTCAGTCAAAGAGCTAGGATGGGAATGCAGGGTGAATGAAGGATGAGCTGCCTTTGTTCCGCTGCGTAGCTGCCAGGCGGCCATATACATCCCCTGTACCTCGTGGGAAATTCTATATTAGGTCCACAGCATCAGATGCCAACATGTTGGAGACAAACAACAATGGCATCGATGATCATGACCGAGTGTTCTTTGTCGAGCACCTTCCCTTGAATCCTCACAAGGACGGCAACTGAAGCTATGGAACACAGCGGCCTGTTTAGGTTGCAGAGCATGCTCGTATGACAAGACTGTTGAGAAAGTAGGGTGATACTCATAAAACCGAGCCAGCGCTGTAAAAGACGCAGCCGCGATGTACAAACAGCTTCAATTATTATCAATAGCAATAACATTTCCTGAGCAATTCATACGCATTTGGCAGCTTTCGACCATCTAGAGTTTCGTCGACCAATCCATATCCACTCATCGAAACTCTGGAGCAACATAGAACGTTTGAATCGATCTTCGAAGCCCTAGAAATGGCGCAAAGGTACCCGAGTTCACATGGCCCGAATTGTAGCGAGGCTTGCAGTTCGACGGCGCAACAGAACAGAAAGAACACGAAAGCAAATTCATCAGCAACTAGAACATTTGCCTCCAAAGACCTCAAAGAATTGGAAGGATTTTGCCCCGAACGACTCGTTCTGGAATGGGGCCTTCCACGTTCTTCACTTACAGACGACTTCTTTACACATCACTATGCCGCCATCATATCAAACATCAATCTCCACGCAAAGCAGATCTTCGAAGTTGGCGATGTTCCGCCTCCAGGGCCCGTATGGTCCGTAGTTACTGGCGACCAGAGTTCGGAATTGGAACGTACTATTGAGAAGGTTGCCCGGCCAGATCCCCGTGACAAGGGCCCTTGGGATGATCTGATTGCCTGCAACTACAAACGGATACTCGTCATGAGGGCCTTTTTCTTGAAACTTTTCGAGGAACAAATATTCTCACTTCAGCTGTTTGGCGCAGACAACCAACAGCGACTTTCACTACTCCATCAAGACAAGCAGTTTATCAAGACCGAAGGTTGGTTTTCCCCCTTGTACCCAAGGAACCACAAACAAGACACAGCAATTGATTGCCTACTAGGTTTCAGGCGATCGCAATTGAGAGCGAAAACGGTGGAAATGCTATTGGAAGAGAATCATGGCCTGCCACCTCTGTTTTGGAAGCAGGTGGACCATTATACCATGAAGACCTTCTTGCTCATAAGGCCAATCCTGACCTGGGTGAGGATGACCTGGCCCGAGAATGGCCCAAACCCGTCCATCCGGTCAATCTTCCAGATGATTCACCACGACGTGGCCTACGCGGCTTGGCTTTCCGTCAACATTCGGCTATCACCCGAGGTTCTTCACTTTGAATGGCGCGAGCCCGACGAACTCTATGTGCCGGGCGACTTTGAGATCCCCGATCCAGGAGTACTGCCAATACCATCCAACGCCTTACTGAGCCCGACGTCTCATGGGTTTGTCGCTTCGACGAGTCGATTCAGAGAACCGCCGATAGAGCCACCGTTGTCGAGAGTGCTAATTTCCTTTGTCCCCGTCGTTCAGAGAATCTCGCTCGTCGAGGGTGCCAATGGAGAAGAGCCCATTGGTAGCCAGAGGAAAAGGTTGTTGGAGTCTCGGACGGCCTACTATACCCTCTGGCGCCACACGGATGAGGTCAATCCATCGCCGGGCTCGCTTGTCGACCACGCATGTGAGATGAGGCGACCCAAACCGACATACTTCTCTGCGATCGTCCGTCCATTATTCTGGCAGCTTTTGGTGTACACTTTGATTATTCAACTCTTGAGATACATCTACCAACTGCGGGACGAGTACATCAAGCGGAGCAATGAGGGTGGGACGGTCTCTGCGTACGATCCGTCGTCCGGTCGTGCTGGGACCGATCAGGGTGTTCAGGAGTTTGGCTTTACCCGGTAGCTTTGACTGGGCCTGGAGTGGTGAATTTTCGGCGTTGATGGCGCGGCATATACGTGAGAATCAGGTGGACATTTGCTTGAGTCGACGACAACTGAGCGGGCAATAGAATTTAAGATTCCTTACCAAATGTCACTCAGGGGAATTAACAGACATGTGAGCTGTTGTAGTTGATTTAGGGCAACGTTGAGGAGGTTTGATGAAGAGGATCACTGCCAGCCTACGATGGCACATTCTCTTACAACCCATGAGCAAGGAGGACTGAAAATGGTCTCAGGCGCACTCTAGTCACCTCACTCATCCAGCACGTCATCCCATAAACCAAAAATGGACGTCCTAGCTAATGCTAAGGCAGAACCAACAAAAGAATTGCGTCGAGGGGGAATCGAACCCCCGGCTCCCCGACGCTGCTTGATGGCAACGGAGAATTTTACCACTAAACCATCGACGCAGATGATCAGAAGTCCGGAAATTGAAGCCGGACGAGGTGGTTGGGGACTGGACGACGAGAAGGTGATTATATTCCGAGGAAGGCAGATGACGGTTGTGTGTGGGGAGCGAGGGTTCGTGCATGAGGGTTTCGGTGGGCTCGCGAATTGCTGTTCCCGGGGCGATTAACAGTTGCAAGCGGCGGCAGCTCCACCCGGCTCTGCAACTTGGAACGCGTTGTAAAAACAATGCCCGACAAGAGCAAATTGCCGCGGTCAGAATATCCTGCGCAAGAGGGATGCTTAGATTCAAATCTTGGCCGACATTTTCGGAATATTGTCGGGTTGTTTGTCTGCGAGAAAGAGGTCGGCCGTTCGTCTGAATGGGCAAGCGAGAGCCAATCGTTTGGCAGGCATTGGCAAGTTGGGAAGGACCCCTCCAGGAACTCTGTGAGGGGCTACAGCCAGGTACGAATACACGTGCATGGAGAGTTGGGGACGGTGTCATGGCAAAAAAAAAGGGACTCTCTGGATATTCTGGCTGGGCAACCAACCGATTTCGGGGAGCCCGACATATCTGCATGAAGGTCCATCTTTGGCCGAGCAGTCGCGGAGACAGAAAACAGTTGAGTAGGTAACCATAACCACGGCAACTTGAGACTGATTTCCGCTGGAAGGAAGGGGTCTCCCGTGGGATTGCCACAGAAAGCCGGGAGTCCACTGGTAGGCATCTGGGTTGCTTGTCCAAGTCGAGTCAGGCGGTGAGAAAAGCAATATCATGGATGATGGACCAAGTACTTTGAAATGGTGCTAAGCGCCGGTACCTGCACGAGGGAGGACGAGGAGAAGAGGTAAGCCCAACAAGGCATGTGGACAAGAGGAGCGAGGGGGGAAGGTGTTGCAGGTTGTTGAAATTCAGGATGGGTATTTTAGTATCAATCACGGCCTTCTTTGTCCGGGTTAGCAAACTATTATGTACTTGAAGCCAAAGAAGACAATGTCAACTTTTGTTACTTTTGTAAAGTACCGAAATACAGCCAGGCACCATCAAGAGGCTCTCAAACAGTCTCCCGAGTCGCCGAGTCGGGTGCAGAGCAGGTGGTTGCAACCTGCAGTGAATGGAACTCAACTCATGGAAGTCAACTCCCCCCGCCTGTAGTAAGGAACCTCAGAAGAACAGAGTCGGGTGGCAGTAAGCGAGAAAATGGCGGACCGGGGTGCGATAAGATAAGAAACAGCCCACCAGCAAGGGCCACAGCGGGATGAAATGGCAAAAAAATTGCTTCGCCGCCCTCGAATCTCTCGAATTTTTGTGGCATGGCCCGCGCGCTAGTAGCACGGTCTCAGCGCTGGAGGGGGTGGTCGAGGGTGGTCGTGGGTGGTTGGTGGGGCTAGGGGGACCCAGAAAAAAAAAGTCGAAATTGATTTTTTTTTTCGGCCTTCACAAAAATCCTGTGTTGAGCAACTGGAGCGAAAGAAATTCTTCTTGAAAGGACCCCACGTCGCCCGCCCGCCCTCCTTCACATATCTTTCTCCTCCGCGCAAACCTCCCAACTTCATTCCTCCCCCCTCCCCCATTCACACAGGCCGTTTTTTTGTCTTTGTGCATATCAAATCTCTCAAAATGGCGGACGAGGTCTACGATGGTGCCATTGGCATTGACTTGGGTGAGTTTTTATTTTCCTGTTACTACTGATGGATGATGGTTTTTGAGGGGGTGTATTATTTTGTGGCGATACCGGTCGCCGCTCAACTTTGAGGGGTTCGGTCACTTCAAGCATCACGAACAACGTCGCTTCCGCCAGCCTAGCAAATTATCGCCAAACATCAATCAACTATCACGGAAGGAGAGACTCGGGGAGGATTTTTTTCCATTATCGAGAAAAAAAACATGTTAGGCTGACCGAGTATTCTCATCACAGGAACTACCTACTCTTGCGTTGCCACGTACGAGGGTACCAATGTCGAAATCATTGCCAACGAGCAGGGTTCGTTCACCACGCCCTCTTTCGTTTCCTTCACCGACAAGGAGCGTCTGATCGGTGAGGCCGCCAAGAACCAGGCTGCCATGAACCCCATCAACACCGTCTTCGATGTCAAGTGAGTAGCCTCACCGTTTTTCTCCGTCTGCTGTTGCTCCGTGACTCCTGCTTTGGCCGGGGTGGGTGAGAATTTTCCCCGCCCGAGGAGGAGGGGTAATCCGGAGCAATAGTAGAAAGTGAAAAAAAAAAATCCCACAACACAGATCGCTGACCACGCATTCTTTCACAGGCGTCTCATCGGTCGCCGCTTCGATGACCCCACCGTCAAGAAGGACATCGAGTCCTGGCCCTTCAAGGTCGTCGACGAGGGTGGCAACCCCAAGGTCCAGGTCGAGTACCTCAACGAGACTAAGACCTTTTCCCCCCAGGAGGTTTCCTCCATGGTCCTCCTCAAGGTGCGTTCTACTCTATGGAGATGAGACCGGAAATAAAAGCCGGCCATCACACATCTCTTATAACGCGCAGCATGCTGACCCCCTCAACAGATGAAGGAGATTGCCGAGGTCAAGCTTGGCAAGAAGGTCGATAAGGCCGTCATCACCGTTCCTGCCTACTTCAACGACAACCAGCGTCAGGCCACCAAGGACGCCGGTGCCATCGCCGGTCTTAACGTCCTCCGTATCATCAACGAGCCCACCGCTGCCGCCATTGCCTACGGTCTTGGTGCCGGCAAGTCTGGCAAGGAGCGCAACGTCCTCATCTACGACTTGGGTGGTGGTACTTTCGATGTCTCCCTCCTTAACATCCAGGGCGGTGTCTTCACCGTCAAGGCCACCGCTGGTGACACCCACTTGGGTGGTCAGGACTTCGACACCAACCTTCTTGACCACTGCAAGAAGGACTTCCAGCGCAAGACCAAGAAGGACCTCTCTAGCGACCCCCGTGCCCTCCGTCGTCTCCGCACTGCTTGCGAGCGTGCCAAGCGTACCCTTTCCAGCGGTGCCCAGACCACCATTGAGATCGACTCTCTCTTCGATGGCGAGGACTACACCACCCAGATCACCCGTGCTCGTTTCGAGGACCTGAACGCCAAGGCTTTCAACGGTACCCTCGAGCCCGTTGCCCAGGTTCTCAAGGATGCCTCCATGGAGAAGTCCGGCGTTGACGAGATCGTCCTCGTTGGTGGCTCCACCCGTATTCCCCGCATTCAGAAGCTTCTGTCCGAGTTCTTCGACGGCAAGAAGCTCGAGAAGAGCATCAACCCCGATGAGGCTGTCGCCTACGGTGCCGCCGTCCAGGCCGGTATCCTCTCCGGAAAGGCCACCTCCGCCGAGACCGCCGACCTTCTCCTGCTCGACGTCTGCCCCCTGTCCCTTGGTGTCGCCATGGAGGGCAACATCTTCGCTCCCGTCGTCACTCGCGGGCAAAATGTTCCGACTATAAAGAAGGTCTGGACCCCTCGTTTTTCTATCCCGTTTTTTGATTTATTGATTTTTCTCGATTTTTTCTTGGTGTTTTCCCCTGTCCGCGACTCTCGTGGTGATGGGCGCTCTGCTGGCGATGACACTTTCCTCATCCGTGGCAGTGCCTTCCTTTCGTGCGCTTTGCGCATGCAGGAGGAGAACACCCCTTCCTTCCGTTTTCTATTGACCCGCTGCAAAGACCAATCACTAACATCCCACGCAGAGAACCTTCACCACTGTTGCCGACAACCAGCAGACCGTTCAGTTCCCCGTCTACCAGGGTGAGCGTGTCAACTGCGAGGACAACACCTCCCTGGGTGAATTCACTCTTGCTCCCATTCCTCCCATGAGAGCCGGTGAGGCCGTCCTTGAGGTCGTCTTCGAGGTCGATGTCAACGGTATCCTCAAGGTCACCGCCACCGAGAAGACCTCCGGCCGCAGCGCCAACATCACCATCTCCAACTCTGTTGGCAAGCTCTCTTCCTCCGAGATTGAGAACATGATCAACGGTTAGTCCATCTCGCAATCCATTCAATGACACATCAATACTAATCCTCTTCTAGACGCCGAGAAGTTCAAGACCAACGATGAGGCTTTCAGCAAGCGCTTCGAGGCTAAGCAGCAGCTCGAGTCCTACATTGGCCGTGTTGAGGAGATCATCTCCGACCCCACGCTGTCCCTCAAGCTCAAGCGTGGCCAGAAGGACAAGATCGAGCAGCAGGTCTCCGAGGCCATGGCTGCCCTCGAGATCACCGACAGCGGTGCCGACGAGCTGAAGAAGCAGGAGCTCGCTCTCAAGCGTCTCGTGACCAAGGCTATGTCCTCCCGATAAATGCTTCAAAACATGTGAGAAAAATCTCTAGTGTTTTGTTCGCGCGGAGGCTATTTACGGCTTTGATGAGGCCGCTTCAATGCGGTGTATCTGGTTCAACTTTCTTGCGTTTGGGTGGCCGAGCAGATTACGGCCAGGCAGGATGCGAATAATTTGGGTCAGGTGATATCAAAAGGCACTTAAAAGTTCCTCCTTTCTTCCCGCCGCCTTCCTCCCATATACCTCCACAACCCCTTCACACACACACACACACGACACGACACTGGCATGACTCTCAGGCGAGTATGAATGCCTACCAGGTGCCGTCTTCTACGGCTTTCATAGAACTGTAGAAAGGATCAGGGCGACATGAAATGAAATTACGTCTTACTTCAATTTGGTTCGATGTGGTGAATGATGCAATGTGATGCAATGCGATGTCGACATGATGTGAATGCTGCTAACAAGTTTGCGTTTACGGTCTACCAGGCAAGACTTTGCCATCACCATCCCCTTGATTATTCAAATTTTTATTAGTGTCCTAATTGGTGTCCTCATTGGCGTTATTACTAACCGCTCGCCGGTGGTGTAATCATTAGTGAATATCTTGCGAGATGAGGACAGTCATCGGAGCTGACTCCTAAGGTAAGGTATTGTTAAGGAATGTCCCTCGACTAGTTAACGATGGAGTAATATCAAGGTAATAACAAACAGCACGCGATGATCCACGTACAGGAACGGACACCTACTGCTGATGAGCAACTGTACTTTCTTGTCCTTTTTTCATTGGTGATTCTTGTACGGCCACTCTTTTATATCAGCAGCTATTGGTTGGACCGAAGCATGTTGATAGGAATATGTCACGCAAATCAGCGGCCAGTGTAGTCCATTGTGCCACTCATGGGAAGCCTCTTTGTGGGCGTCGTAGGCTTCAGTATGGTCTCGTCTAACGCGGGTCGATTCCCTATACTGAGTTGTTGTGAAAGGCGCTCTGGCGATTGGGCTTTGTGACGGACGAGCTGGTAGTAGCAATTGGCTCGGGAATCCGATATTGAGGTTGGATGTATGTAAACTATGTCCTTTGATCGAAGACGACTGCCTGGTGCATCGGATCGGTTAGGTAAATCATGCTATTCGACCTGTTCGTCTTGATATCATCTCCCGCTTGTAGGTGTTGGGTTCGCCTGGACTACGTTTCCCTCAGATGAAATGCGCTGTGAGTGCGTCTGTTCTCAGTGAGAGTTCGCGGCAAGAAGTGATGCAAGATCCGGGTAGAGCAGCCCCAATGACTTTCCGTCGGCCCTTCCATCAAGCCACGTGTCCCCAGAACCATATTCAAGTCAATAAACCCGCTGAACCTCCGCTACGTATCATATCATGCACCTACACGGATACTCTTCATCATCACATCTCCTATGGCTTTGGGCTAGATACGCCGATTTTAAAGCATCGCGCAAGTCAATCAACATATGCGCAGATAAGATTCAAAGATGCCTAAGTCTGGCGGATCAAAATTGGCATTTGGGCATTTGGAGCGGATGCAGGACCTGGCTGCATGTGATGATCGGTAAAGACTGATATAGGGAAAGGGTGTGTAGAAAAGTATTCGAAGAGGGCGAAAGATCGCTCGTTCACTTAACGAGAAGCTTCACGGTGCAGGCCTAGAGTATTCTGACGGCAACGCGGACGCTTAGGGTCACTGATTCAATGTAACGAGGTCTACACACGAAGTGTACGGGGCTTTTCTAGCCAGTGCGGCAAGACCTGTCAATTCCGGCGGATGTAGAACCTTCGTTCATGCCCTCTACGACACTAGTGAACTTGTTGTAATTCATCTCATTCGGGAATTCCCACATACTATATCTAACGAGACTATTCACGTGAACTTAAGGGGTGATGCACGAGGAATGAAGGCGGACGCAGAAAATGGCTGAGCCATTCCAACCCAGGGGTGCTTTCCCCTGAATCTCAAAGGAATATTTTAATTTCCCCTATAGATCACTATTAGCCCACCTAGATCAGGGAGAAAATGGCTGATGCTACCTATAAAATTCCCGTCAGGCCACTCCGTGCCTCAGGCGGCACAGGAAGGATCATAGGGACCAGAAATGCTTCCTCTGTCACCGACCACGAGTCGAGATGCTTGATCGGGTGACTGCCCCGGTGATGCTCCCGAGGCTTTCAGGCGGCGGTGTTTCGATTCATCATGTGGTCAACCATTTTTTTCGTGGTTCTTCTTATTTTCTCTTACAACGGGAAGGTGTAGACAGGGCCTTGGTATATTTACACCATACAATGGCATAAGTGGGTAGCATAGAGCCGGCAATACGATATCTTTCTGGACCAGTTGCCAACAGAAGGTGGTATGTTCCGAAATAAATTCTTCTTACACCTCATCCCGAAAATTCGTTACACCGACGCCGTCTTATACCATGTCGAATTCCGCAAATCTCCCACTCCTACCCGAAGTATGGCGCTCTCTCTCACCTCAAGAAGCCAGTAAGTAAACACATAATACCTGTTTAGATTTCATCCTAATGAACTCCCTGCCTATCTTAGCTGCATCAATGGCATATGAAAGAAGATGGTGTGAAGTCGAAATAGAACTGACCGGGGCAGAAGCACGATGGCATGGAGTTGGATCGCCACAGTGGGGCCGGATGACCTCGCAGCCAATCACGTAATCAACAACCCCACCTTCTGCCAGTCCCAGTGTCACTACTACTCTCATTCCTCATCCATACTACCACGGCATCTCAATATCTAGTTCCCTGCAGATCTAATCTGATAGGACGCTTTTCTTCCAGAAGTCTTTCATGGGACTACAGGACACCCCCTGCTGATCTTTACTTGTCACTGACCATGTCGGGATCTCGCCAAGATGGCCTCCTGCACCTTCGACCAGTTCTTTGACCTTCCTGTCGAGATCCGGGATCAAATCATCTCCTACCTCTGCGTACTCCCAAATCCAATCCAGATAGGTCCCACGGAATTCTCCGAGATCCCTTTCCCGCACGACCTGCTCCTCTCGCACCCGCTCCTCTACGCCGCCGGCTCCGCCCTCTTCTACGAACAGAACCGCTTCATCCTCAACCTCCAAACGGGGCCCCGCGCCGCCGTCGAGCGCGCCATCTGCGACGGCGGCAGCTCCTGGCTCCTCGGCAACGACCGGGCCCGCCGCCGCGTGAAGCACCTCGAGCTCTCGCCGGGCCGCCTGGGCAACGTCTTCCAGACCCACGTCTCCCCGGCCGTGGCCGACATGATTTTGAACGGCGCCCTGCGGCATCTCAGGCTCGTGCTGTATCCGACGAGCGCCGACAAGATTGTCTTTCACCAGAGCGCCGCCGACGCACAGTCGCGGAGGGCCGCCATCACGCGTCGTGACGACGCCTTTGCTCACTCCAGGCCGTTTCAGGCTCTGCTGCGGCTGCTGGCTGATCCGGACTTGGAGACGGCTGATCTCTACGTGGATCCCATCCACCGTGACTTCTGGTGTGAGTTCCATGAGGGCTTGGCATGCTGTAAGGGACAGCGGAAAGGGCCGTGGCAACTCATCCCGATTGACTGGAGGAGGCTTGCCGCTAGCTACGGCCAGGATCACGAGCTCAGCATCGTTCGGGTGGTGGTCTGATTGCTCATTGGCTTTTCGGGAATCCTTTGCTCATTATTGGGAAGGGCAACAGCGGCTAGGACCGCGTGTAGTCATCCGGTCGCATCGGTATCACGCCGTAAGGCGTCGGCCCTGTTCATTTTGCTCGTTAGAGTTGTCAGCAAGTACGAAATTCGTCCATTGACTCTCCTACATCGTGAGGCGCGAACTCCTTCGATAGAATGCAGTGAGACAACTGCAGCTTAAAGCTATCTTGCGTCCGATATCTTGCAAAAAACCCACAGGCCTTGTACCTCCTGCAGCTTTCATGACCATTTGGACCATAAGGTCCTCGAAAAATTGATTCGACAGAGGTTCTGCGTTCAAGTACGGAGATGCAGCTCAGCATACGATATCCACGGTCCAAAGTACACGAACCAAATGCAAGTCTACCTTTAGGCAGTAATTAAAGGGAAAATGGCAAAAACAACAGGAGCCGACCGAGAATTGAACGCAGGAGTCCTGAAGAGTACGGAGCATCACGCACATATTCAGCACTTCACGGCTTTCACCACTCGGTCACCAGGCCCGATATTTGTTGTTAGGATGGGGAGGGAATAGGCTAATTGTAATTCCTACGGCTTCCAACACTGAGATGAAAGGTGAATAAGAAAAGAAAATCAAGAAATAGGAAAGAGGCTAGGGGGTACTGACCTCACGATTCACGCCCTTCAGTCAACCCGAACTCTGACTTTATTGAAGTATTTGTTTATTTGACCACTGCACCACCTCACACACAGCTCGACCCCATGTCGCCCACCTAGGCGAGCGCTGCTGTGCTGGTGGCAGGAATGGGTTTGAGGGGTGATATATGCCCTTGAGACAGGCACCATGGGAAGCTTACTATCCACACCGACACAAAAACCGGGCATTCCATATGATGACTTCTGTTTCTTCAACACATCCCAATGGTTCGCAGACCCTTCTTTCGATGTCTTGCTTAGGTATTTTTGGCACTCGAGGCGAGTGGCTTGGCTACCAAGAATGCGGAATTTTGTTGAGGATATCCCTACTCAGCAAAGGTGTGTTATAGGAGTATTTTCACGGACATAGTAATTCGTGTCGAAGGACCTGACTAAGAAGGATGCTGAGATCATATAGGTCTACTTGATATCCACGAATGTTATCTTGGAGCAAGCTTGGGTTCGTGGAATAGAACCACGACGCCGGTATTTTGACATTGAGATGGTCGACTGTACCATGCTGTTGAGATGCGAATATCACAAAGGTAAAGCGCCTTTAGATGAGGGATCCTGGTCTCTAGCTCGCTTCGCGATACTTTTGTCGTGGAATAGGCGGACGTTTTCTGTCACATTACAATCGTTTAAACACAGGACTTCGAAACTTCTTCAACAACATTGCAGACCCAAGGGCTACGTACAGCTTCTTGACAAACATGAGTGGCGCTGTAAAGATTGTGGCAAGGGCCCTCAGTGTGACGAGGATAGAGACCATAGAGCTCTAGAGTCCTATGGAAGGCTCATGGACGCGCATTCAGATGCCGTGCTGCCACATGGCTCATTAGCAGATATGGCCTGACACACTCGTTACCCGAACTCTGGCAGGTATTGAATTCGACGCAGGCAACAATCGAGCCCCAGAACGAACAAAAATCAAGTAAGCAAGCGCTTGGATCAGACGCTAATTCGTATCTATTCTCTGAGAAAGTCTGATCCGGGATTTTTGCAACGTCACCCGGCCATTTGTAAACCCCCCCATTCGCCACTCGTCAAAGAATTTCACCGCCAGTAGATTCGGGAGACTTCCACATCCACTTTCATCTCGCTAAGGATAGATAGACACCTTGCTCTTCGTCTCTCTGAGAGCCGCCCGTTGCCGAAGTTTATTCGCCGCAGATCAAGCACTTAAGGACGACAATTGGAGACTAGCTGCATAACCAATTCGCCGTGTCGATAGGTCTGGGTACAGTTTGATCGGGGCTAAGTTCCCCACTAGCAATGCAAAACCTTTCCCTAAGAGCAGCATTATGGCTTTCTAGCCACTCACTGGTTGTCGTAGTGTCTTGCTGCGAGCAGTATAAGGAAGATTACCATATATTGAGACGAACGAAATAGACGGTCTACCGTGCTAAGATGGCACATATTCACAGATGGTGTTGTCCTAAGGTAAATGTCGCATAAGTCACGAGAGTTTGACAATCCAAATTCTTCTCTGTACATTGCTAACCCAACTGGTACTACTGGTACATCACCGTCGGTGGCTCCCCCGGGACGTCTTTTGAATCTACTAAGTCTTGGACCAAACAATGCGTATAAGGTCTTGGATGTAAGCGTCGCGATATGTCAGCCACAAGTAATCTTCGCTCTCCATGCTCTTCATAAAATTAATCCTGCTTCATCTTTCCTGGCCCTGGCAGCGTTGATCATTTCTAGATGAACGTATTCAGATTGAATATGTCCTATCAGGTGCTTGTGTTCTGTACAGATGGCTCACGCATGATGGATTCCTCCAAGTGACTTCACCGATGGCCCCGGCCCCGACCCAGGACCCCGGCATGGCCCCGGGTGGGGCCGTGATTATTTCCGGAGCGGCCTATTTCATCCATAGAATTGACCACGGGCCAATTCTTCCCCTCCCCCCTTCCCCCGTCTCCAAAAACACCAGAAACCCCCCGACCCCCTCCGAATCCACAACCCCGTCGCCTCAGGTCTAAGAATGGCCCCCGAAACGAGGGAACGAGCCTCACGCCGTGTCCGAATGCTACGCTATCTCCTCCCCAAGACGGGAGGATCTTTACATAGAAACATAGATCTCTCCACAGTGCTCCCCTCCCCTGGTCATCAAGTCCCCCCCCCTTTGTTGCACCACAAGGACCGTTTCGCAGAGGCCAGCGCATCCAAACCGCCAAGAAGATAGATTGCTTCAAAACCTTGTGGATCAGCAACACATCCCACCACCCCAAGAAAAGTCCCCCCCCCCCCGCACGCTCGCAGTGACTCTCTTAATGTTTGGGGGACCCCCAATTGTCATTGTCGCTCGAACAATAAGTCGGCTTGGCGTGAAACCTCACGAATCGGTTGCTGTCCCGGGGGGGCCTTTTCAGTGGTTATAGCGTTTTTTTTTTTGTCTTTTTTTGGTCATCGCGCTTCAGCCTAGGTTCTTTGGTCGGCTGTAACCGTACGGACGGACTACCGTGCACCTCGCTGTAAACGCTTGCTACTATTTCGATAAATCATCAGACAAGGAGGCACGGTAGACTTGGGACGACAAGCGGCCGGCATTGCACATCTTTTCGTCCCGTCCAATCTTGGCGCGTGTCGGAGGGCCGGGCCCGGCCCGCCCGCCCGCCGCTCGAGTTTGCCTGCCACGCTGTCTTGCCACCCGGTCGCAGTCAGGTACGCCGTGAAAACCCCCCTGTTGTCGAGTTGCTAACTGCTTGCTTCCTTTCAGCATCTCTGTGCGCGTTCAAGGGGCACCTTGATAGGTACAGCCGTCAAGTCCCAGATAAGATGCCACATGTCAATAGGCACCAGCACATGCCTGGATAAGCAAGCAGGCAGGCACGCAACTCGTCGAATCGTCCTCTGTGACGTCAACAGAGGCTCAGATTGTATCATCCACGGAAAATTCGTAGAGCCTTGCGCCCATCTCTTTCTCGCCTATGGTGGTCTCGCCCCCTAAACCTGCTCGACTCGACTCAGTCGCGGGTTGTATCGAGTCTGAAGCCCAAGGACTTTCCAGAAGCGGTAATTTGCGAAGCAGGGTTGAAGGGCTCGGCAGGCCTGCCAAGGGCGGTCACATGCCAGATGCAATGCCCCCCCCCGTCGATCTTCCTTCCTGTCCCACCTACGAGAACACTAAACCTTTTTTTGCTTTTCTTCATTTACCTGACAACGATGACAGGTGACCAGCGTGTCGGAGATTGAGGCAGAAGCCGGCAAACAAAACATCCCAGTGGAAAAAGATATGTGTGTGTGTGTGTGCAGAAAGGGCAGATGGGCGCGCGTCCTAATCAATCCAGCCAGACTAGAACAAAGACGTAGGAAGTACGGATAGTAGGGCAAGGTGAACCCCAACTCGGCCGCGCGAGATAAGACGAGCTTGACTCGTAGCTAGGCGAACTAGATATGACGTCCGCATAAGTGCCAGAGTCGTCTCCGAAACTCTCTCAGCTATCTTCTGGCACTCTGCAGCAGCAGGACCCCTCCCCGTGGGAATTTGCGAACCAAGTCCGAGTCTCTTGCGCGACTGCGATTAAACTTCAGGTGCTAGCAACCTCCCCCCCTTCTCCCGAGTCCTCTCCCCCTCCCCCCCCTTTTTCATAGAGAAACTCTAGACTAGACAAGACTTTAATACAACCCTTCTCTACCCACGCCAAGTTTGCACGTCATAATTACTACCTACAACAACACCACTTTCATGGCATATCGTGAAATTGAGAGGAATCAAAGAGAAAGAGAGCAAAAGACTAGCTTTTTGAAACTATTGAACCCGCTCAGCCTCGGCATAGACCAGAAATCAATACACCGTGACACCCCGGTCGTGATACCCAGTCTCTACCCCACGTGCGTCTCGTCGAAAGCAGATGTCTGTCTCTCTCTCTCTCTCTCTCTCCCTCCCCGCTTCCCAGGAAATCGAACCCTCGGTGCAGCAGCCGGCTTGTCAGTGCTCATCTCCTCCTTTCCCCCCTCCCCCCTCCATTCCACTCGCGCCTCTCTTGTCCTGGCAACAAGTTCCAAGTAATCAACAGGGCAGAGACTCGATGGCAACACAACGTTTGCTTTGCGTGGAATGACCAGCGAACGAACAAAAAACAAAAAACGCAAACGTAGCACAAATCAAAGGCAAAATTCGTGCCGGCTTAATCCAATCAGAACCATCACCCCACACCCTTTAGAAATGTCTCGCAAAAAAATCGAAGGGTGTGACGATGAGCTGTCTCTGAGGAAATGTCCCCCCCCCCCCCCTCGTCCTCCCCAGACTTTTTTTTTGTCTTTGCACAATCAGCAATCATTTTCCCA